TTTAAATGATATCATTGTATTTTTAAATTTCTGCTTTGAACTCACTTTCTCTATTACTTTAGATCTCGACATGGAATCCATCCAAGATGACTATTGAAGTATGTCAATAAATATTTTGCGGATATTCTCAATCATTTCCATTGACTGAACAAAAGAATAGTCAGTGAAAGAAAGTTATCATCTTTAACTAACTTGATTACGAATATTCTCATCAAAATACTTTTGAATGTACAGTCTAGCAATAACAAAATCCATATAAGTATTGACAAAGTTGACACATTGAGTTGTACGTAGCTGCTGCGAATTGGCTCCTGTCAACACTTTGAGAAAACTCTGCTTGATAATTTGAAAACGTTTTAGATATCTAATCGATTTGACTTAGTATGAAACGCCACACTAGATAGTTTTGCACAGTACGTGGTGAATAATTATCAATGATCAAATAGACATTGCGTATAAAGTCGATTTCACTAATGAGCACAATATCCGCATCGACGAAGTTCACCTTAGCTAAACCATAGACACGCCGGAGATAACTCATAAAGTCAAACTGAGAAAAGAGTGTAAAAATGACAGAATATAGAAGATACTTACATTGACATTCAATGTACACGAAAGATTTCCAAGTGTCCTGCGAATACTTTCATCAATATGAGCTATCTGTTCGACAACTGTCCAATGATACCGTAGAAGGAAAAACAATTCAGATCGATATTCAATATGGGTAATGGTAGAAAAGAGTACTTTAGCAATCTGCTTTTCTAATTCAAATGAAGCAGTAACCCGATCGATGTATCATTAGTCAATGCTAGATCCATCTCCTGTATGAATTGACGGTAGGTAATAGTGATTGCATTCTTGCTCTCATAAATACTGCATGTGCCCAAATTGAGATCCGTTTGTTCAATCTAAAACAATTTCACATATAATTGATGGAAGTGTACATCGAACTTCACGTACTGTTATTTTATTAGCAGATGAATTCTGATCATCAACGATTGTTTCACCATTGAAGATGACTGAATATTTATATTCGAACAGTTTGAGTAACTGATTCGATATGTTAAATGTAGAACTGTTCCATTTCTAACCTGGCAGAATAGGTCATCCTCCATCTCGATGACTTCTTCATCAATGCAGGAAGCATACAAACAGTGAGCCTTAATAATTGCATGAGACTTGTTGGCGTTGGTTGATGATGACGATGAGAGAAGATCTTTAATGAGAGGGGAAAAGAATACTTGCAGATTAATAGATAAAGTATCCAATCATTTATATTATTAGTTAATTAAGTTGCTGCCACTTTGAATGTAGTTTCACTCGTATCTTCAAATAAGTTAACGTTCGTCGAAGATAATAAAAGAAAGAGAAAAAGCTGACCATCCACAGATACTTTTTGTATTCTTGAGTCACATTCCACAAGTAAACCGGTAAAAATTTTGACACGGATCAACTGTTTCTTCGATACTCTTGCATAAGTTGTCGGCTAGAATAATAGAATAGTTCGACTTGATGTTTAGAAGAGATCTTTGTTTACTAACCTGCTTTCACACTGATTTGAGCTGAACATATATTATAGCTTTTCAGCTGAAAAAAAGAAATAATATCTATTACTTTTTTATCTACTGTAAGAATAGATGGCTTTTGCTTTGTTTCGTTCCAATCCAAGCAAGATGGTCAACACAACGGTAGAAATGAAAAGAAGACAAACAAGTACGATGAGTATGATGAAAAGTACTTTCTATGAAGATGAATTTCTGCAAAGTTGATAACTCAATAATGATCTATCATATATGAGCATTCTTTTTTTTTCGGCATTGAATTCGTGAAAAAAAAGGGATGGACAATGATCATGTCTTACCAATTTTTAGAATTCATTGGTATTATGTTGATTGCCAGCGAGCTGCGCATGTTTTCTTATTTTTATGTCGGTTGATTCAATTCAGATATGCTTCAATGCCTAACAAAGTTATAATAAGTCTTATGTTCATCGTTATTTTTTTGGGCTGATAAAAATCTCACTTTTTTTTCTTGCTTTTCTCCATGATTTACATTACTTCACTTGTCAGTTGATGAGGGAGTCTTCTATCGATATGTACGTATCGATATTCATGTATATGTATGCGTATGGGTAAAGAAAATGAATGAAAAAAACGCCACATAATGCAAAATGAATGTCAACAATTTAAAAAAAAAAACAGAAAAAATTACGATAGTTATATGTTTCAAACGAAGTCCTTGAAGGCAATGGTTTTCAGTTTCGCCATATTTTGACCTAAGGGTTGACATTTGTTTTTCTCTGAGAAAATATTATTCATAGTTTGTATTCATAGAACAAGCATTGATAAAAACCGTTTTGACACATCACAACTGACTTCAATAAAGAACTGTCATCCACTAGGGATTATGAAAAAACGATATATTCATTCTCTTGCTAAGAGTAAACAGCACACCAACTTTATTTTTATTAATTTTCTACGCCAGTGTCGTTTGATCTCGAATTTATACCACAGATATATGTTTTGTTATTATTTGTGCACTGAAAGTTTCGACAATAAACAGCATGAGTTTGTTTAGAAAACGATGATATTGCTTTTTCCTAATCTAGAGTGTTTGCCACAAATCACGGCGGAACCAGCATGGGTTATGACAAACCGAATTCAACAACCACGCTTATTTCTTTTCTCTGCCTTACCTGATCACTCCATTACTTCATTGAGTGGAGATGTGAGTCTTGTTTTCAACCACATGCACATCCCACACTGGCACCGACACCCACTGAAGAAACGGAGCAGCTAGAGCAATATGAGTGATGCCCTTGAAATATCTGTGTGATAACCTATAGACCATCTTTAACGTAACTATTTCATGCATTTTTATTATTTTATTTATTAATAGCTCTTTTTATTGATTGCGCATTATTTGATGAGCTTGAATTGAAGTAGAAAATAAATTATTCAAGAGATTAAACAGTTAATGGTTTTTTTAAACTTCTCTGTATTCTGTATTTTGGTTGTAACATAGCTCTATTATGTTAACATTTTTTATTGGTACTTGATATTTAATATTGAAACATCTATTTCTTTCACCTTTTTCTTCGATAAAAACCTCTTTTGTTTTCATCAAAATGCTCCCAGATATGCTATACTTTATCCAAGTACAAGAAAGATAAAAGTTAGAAAGAAAAGTAAAGTTTCGACATGTTTCATTCGAATAGTAATTCTGTAAGAAAAGTACTCATTTATTCAATAATATCAAATAGAAATATTTAATTATTTTTGTTCTTCTTGAATAAAATAGCTCTTTTATTTTTGTTACTAAATCAAAGCATTTTTTAAGTGCAGATACTCATGATCATATCATTTTTTTTATTCGATGTAATATGTGTATGCATGTATATAAATATATTTCTCTTTTCATACGGATGAAGTGCAATGCACATGTGCATGTATCCATAATTATCTTGTTGATTATTTCTTTTTATTTGATGAAAAATTATTTGTGCAAAATCATCTCTAGATAAATTGATGGCTGTTTTTCAAAGTAAAGAACGAAGACCTTGGCATACATCAGATAATCTTTTCATCGACTCTTCAAGGTTGTCAAATGATATTTCATAATAATCAGATCGATACATGTTTTAAAGAGCTTTTGTTCTTCTTAGATCTAAATGTATAATCATTATAATTTTAAAGAACGTATAAGAACAAGGATGTATGGCATTTTCATATTTTATGTAGCGTAACAATAATTGTATTATCCGTATTGCATTCTCTGGATTGATGTTTTCGTTGTTGTCAAAATCAAATAATGCTATATTTCGTATAACATTAAAAATAAATTTGTAATCACATTCCTTGATCTAGATGACAAAAAGAAAGTTAAGTAAAACTGATTTTTATTTGTACTAAAGAAGAGAGAATGCAGGTGAGGATAAAATACGCGGCTCTATGATATCATGTTGACCTTTTCTTTTCGCTTATATAGAAATGCTTTGATTCGAAAGAGACGATGATAAGATAAAAATATCATCACTGATTGTGTAACTATTAATAACCTGACTAAACACAGCAACAACAAAAAAATAAGATAAACGATTTATGTCTGCAATAGTCGAAACCTATATATCTCTAGTCAATTCTCTCTTAACAAATGCCATGGTAGTCCGCAATAAAACTTCCTCAGGATTTATGAAAGAATTTATCGTGAACTTCTATGAATTGTTAAGAGCGTGACTGTGTAAGTCACTAGTGAATCTCTTACATAGAAAAATCTCTAAGAAATGTATGAACTTTGCTCTTCATATATCATCATGTATGGTATTTGTGTGATCTTAAAATGATTGCATACTCAATAATCATTGCTTTCCATGTTTTTCTAGCAAGAAACTTCGAAAACAATAGAATACACGTACAGAATATTATAGCATAATAATAATGTTCGTTCTCTTTTATCTGATTCAATTTCCTATGATGACTCTAGTACAACATCTTTTTTTTTGTTTTGAAATTATATTTGATCGATAGTCTCTATATATTCATTGTTTTGGTCGATTTTATGATTATGATCCATTTCAATTGTAACATTTTCATCTAATTTAAGCTTTATAACTTTCAAATAGCTTAAATTTTCGATTGGCTGATTTCGAGCTTCTTTTAATGAGGAATGAAAAACATTAAATGCTTCTTCACTTTAAAACAAAACCATTTTATAAAGTATCTAGAACGAAATAAGAAAAATTGAGATAAAAATTGCTGAAGAAACAAAAATAGTTACTTATCATAAATATATATCGATCATCTTAATCGTTCAAATGTTTATTCGATAATATTTCACTACGTGTATAATTAACTATAGTCATTTTTCGAAAAAGTAATCAAATCGAAGTTTAATCATGTTTTAATTGCCTTAATTTTGTATCTTTGAACATTTAAAGACAGGAAAAGACATCAATAATAACATTATTATCATAAATATAGCAATTTTATTCATCTTCATCATCATTTATGTACAGGACATTTAAAAATTTGATTAGCATTGATAATAACAGTATAATAATCATCAGTAACATTAATTTGATGATTTTGTTGCGGATCATTTGTTTGTATCTGTTGCAAATGATCAGATACATTGCCTTTTGTTGGATTATGAAAATAAGCAGCTTGTAAAGAAAGAACAAAAGCATCTGATAGTACTTCAATATTTATAAAAAAGCAAAGTATATTTTAAACAATAAATGCGGTTGAGAGTTTGTTCATAGTTCGTACTTAGAAATAATTTTTTTTATTTTCTAGTCTGAAACAAAAATTGTTTAGTACTTATAGTTTGATTTGTCTTCTCCTCGTATCGGACAAATGTACCTGCAATTAATTATGTGGTTGTATCTCTCATCTTTGAACACATATAACTTAGCACATATTTTACAATATTTATGTACTTTGTAGAATAAAATTACAGCGAAAGAAACTTTTTAGAGAGTCCGTCTACAAGGATTTCCTATGTCTCTCTGGTGATTTTTCAGGTGAGAGTTAACTAGGGATCTATTTATCAATATTCACTATTTATTTTAAGTTAAAATTTTCTCTTATAAAATTCAGGTTTCTATTTTTTTTATCTAGAAACGGTTTTTTTCCTTAAAATCGTTTTGAAATAAAATAAAAAATGTTTATATTTATTAAAAACATTTTTTGATTGAGAAAAACAAAATATTGGTTATTAAATTGCTGTGAATAATTATTGGTAAATTTTCTTAATGTTTTTTCACCAAGTCCATGACTTGATTTTGCTAAATTTCATAACTTATCTTTTAATTCTTCAGATTGACTTTGTGAAAAAATAAGATTTTTTAAATGAATTCATAAAAAATAAGCTCAATAAATATGAAATGTTGTTTTAATTGAAGGTGTTTCAATAAAATAAAATAAAATCCAAACGATCAATAAAAGCTTGATGAATCATTTTTATGAAATTTAATGTTACTCATATAAAAATATTTGAAAATAATTTTAAACAATCAATTTGTATTAAAAGTATATTAACAACACGTAATATTTCTAATGGTTCATTTGATGATGATACTAATGATATTCGTGATAAATTCAATTTTATCAATACGAATTACAACAAGTGTTCATGGCTTATGACATACATATTCGTGTTATATTATCGAAAAATCATGATAAATTATGAGATGAATCAGAAAACCTCTGTGAAAATACTGAACCAGCATTTAATTCATAAAAATAAAATCTATTAAATAATTCTTTCACTTGTCTTGATATTGTTTCGGCTAAACCTTTACATAATGTTGTTTCACCATAACCTAAAATTTTTTTATTTAACAAAAATAAGATAAATCTCAGGATTCGAATGAACTATTAATCTTCATGACTTGAGTCAAAAAGATTTTTTTAAGAAGATTTGAAACATAAGAATTTTCTAAATTTCACTGAAAATAAATGTTTTGAATAATAACATTCTGACAATAAGCATGAATCAGAACATAAAAAAAACATATTCCGATTTCGAGATGCGACAAAAACACATCAAGTGTTTCATAAAGAACAATTATTTGATTATAATAAATTGCTGTTCTATCACTACTCGCTTTATCAAATCTAATAATAGTAAAAATATATTGCATTAGTTGAGATTTTAATGATAAATCAAATTCAAGTATTTTCCGAAGTGATTCAAATTGATAATGAGGTAATGACCATTGACAATTCTAAATTTTGTTTTTCTCCTTCAATAGTTACTTCATGAATAAATAGATGATCTTCTTTTGTTTTATATAATATTATATTCATTGAATTTATATCTTTATTTATGTTTTTATTTACTTCAAACTACTCATTAAGTAACAGTTTATTAACAAAAAAATTCTTTTTAAAATAAATAAATAAAGCTTTTGTTTTTGAACAAATTGATAAACTTAATATGTAAGTTGATCGAGAAAATTTTTTTCGGGTAATGTTCGACAATTAACTTCAGTAAAAACAACACATTTTATCGGAATGAATTCCATCATCAATTACTATCTGAATGAATTTTGAATTTATTTAATCATGATGATTGTTGTTTTGTATTTCACGGTTAAAATGTTACAAATGCTGTTTCTTGCATTTACTTTTTCAATGATATTTAAAATCATAAATGAAGAACAACCAATACAAATTGACAAAATATTTATTCACATATGAACTTTTTATTTTAATAGTTTTACTTTAACAAATAAATATTTTATTATATTCTATCGTTCATTTTTTATTGTTTTTTAAATTATGAACGTCTAAATCTAGTTATTAAAAAAAAACTAATTAAAAATAAATTTGATTTAAGAGAAAATTTTAATAGATATATGTTGATCAAATTGTTATGATAAAAGTCGATTTTGTCTGCAAATCCAATGTGAATGAAAATGAAAACTGATAAGAAAGAAGATAATTTGATTACGATGAAAGCTCTTCATTAATCTTGAATATATGATGAACAGAAATGAATAAGTACTGAGATGTCTAACTTAATAGAATGTTTTCGTCAATGATCAAACAAAATACAAGAAAAAAAAGATAATCATTGAAAAATCTCTCCATTATAAATATATTATTCTTTTTCAGGACTTCTTTATATTATATTTCTAATTAGTCATTTATCTGTCCATGTGTTTATCATATGTCTTTTGCTTTTTCAATCGAATATCTTATATTGATTAGACATTTTTTTAGACTGATTAATTGAATAAATAGCAATAGTGTTTATCTTTGCCGTTCTTTACCAATCGTTTCATATATTGGCATCGATCGATCGATCGAAATTATTTTTAAATAAAACTTTTCTACGTTAATATTCAGTTCTTCTATTTCTTATTAAATCCAAGTATCATTCTCAATAGTCAACGTAGAATTAACTGGTTTCTATTCTTTATTCATTCATTTATTCAGGAAAACAAAATGAACGAGAAAAAAAAACCTGTCAAATGAAATTGACTTTATAATAAACGATTAAAAAGAATGATTCGATCGTGAAAATGTAAAATGTTTTGAGCAAGATTGAAATAATTTCAAATAAGCATGCCGATATTTTATTTGTATAAATGGATAAAGAAATGGATTACATGTTGAATTTAACCATAAAAGCCAAAATGATATTTCAAATATAATTCCAGATATATTTGCACCAGCTGTTGAAGCTATTGCACAAATAACATATGGAAATAAAAATATAAGAAAAACAATAACCAGAATAAATAAAGAACGTGCTGCTTTACGATCTCGAACAATTCTTGAATCACGCGGACGATATACTTTATATTTATTAGTATTTAAATTATTTGATGAACTTAATTCATTTATTATCGGTCTTGATACTTCACCTTCACTTTCAATTCGATATTCAACAAATGAATCATTACGATAATTATGTGAATGAGAAAAATTAACACTTGCACATTTTCTTGATAAATATACCATTGGTGATGATTCACGAGATTCTTTTAAATCTGTTTTATTTCTATAATGACAACGATTTACGGATGAATTTTTACTAAAATCAAAATAAGAAAAAAAAAATAAAATAAAACAATAAACATACATTGTAGAAGATTGTTTTTGAATATATGGTGAATATTGAGGAATAAGTGATGATAAATATGTAATTGTATGTTGACAATTGTTTGATGATTTATTATTTTGATTGAATAAATCCGGAAGATTTTTATTTGACGAAGATAATTGAACAAGAATAAATTGATTAATATTTTTATTTTCTTCTTCAGCTATTTTTGATGGACAACGTTCAATTGAATTTATTTTATTTTTAGATAATATTGACAAATGTTGATCATCTTCCGTATCTTTACTTGTTACTAATGGTGATGAACCAATATTTCGTTCTCGACTTTTTGCACATTGACTAAACGACATAAGACGATTCATTTTTTGACTTCGTTTCCATATATTTAACATTATTAACATATTAAGAACACATAAAACAATAAATGGCCAAATAAAATAATTGAACTGTGCTATTAACATATATACAAATGAATGATTATAATCACCTGAACAATCACTACGTGTCATATTATTATTATTATTATTATTATTGAATAGACTTAATAACCAAATACCCGGAGCAAAATTAACTAAAAAAAAGGAAACTCTTTTATTCATTTTTTTCTAATAATGAATTCTTACTAAAAGAAAAACACCATACAGCTCCCATTACTATATAAACAAAATGTTGTTTCACATATTTTCGATACGATATAGGATATGCTATAGACCAATAACGGTTAACACTAATCGCTACTATATTAATAACACTGGCCATTGTTGCAACATCATCAATTGTGACCTATTTATGCATTGATTATTTATTATTAAGTCAATTATTCAAATGAAAAGCTTCACCCATATTTTACAAAAAAGACGTCCAAATGGCCATGATTGCGTCACACTAAATATAAATAAAATAATGAGAATATATATGACATAAAAAGAAAAAAAAAAGTTAACCTGAATGGAATATAAAATGGAATACAGAAACAGCCAACAAGAAAATCCGCTATTGCCATGTTTAATATAAAATAATCTTTTAAAAATAAAAATAATTTATTTCGGGTGTGAATACAGGGTGTGGGTATGGGGTATGGGTGTGCATGTGGATGTGTATGTGAGTGTTGTTCATCTCTTCATCCCTAGCTACAATCGCATCCAAAATACATAATTACCATTGATTGTTCGTAATTTCTTGTCACAATAAAAGGCTAAGAGTACAATTATATTTCCAAGTGCAGTTATTAATGCAATAAGACTAAGACAAATTCCAATTAAAATCAAAATAATGATTGATGATGAATTCGATGTGTTTGTTATTGTCATTGTCAACGATATATATATATGGAGAAAAACAACTGTCCTTGGATATATTTCTATCTCATGTTTTCTTCGCCTTTTTTTGTTCTAAAAAAAGAAAAATCCTCATTAACGATCAGTCATTAATGGAAAAATCTTGTTAGAAACACATACAGCTCGTCATCAAAAGTATAAAAATAAGAAATGAATGGTTAGAAAAGAAACGTTATTTTCTTCGAGGCATATCCTTTTTTTTAATAAACGGAAACAAACTTGACTTTACGACTAATTTAAATCTTACTATGAATTCTTTTATAATCAACACCAGTTCTATTCTACAATATAGTAATTACCTTTCATATTCATATATTCATCGTCTCAATAAACTTCCTATTAGAAGTTCAACATCTTTATTTTTTATTGAACATGATTACTCTATACAATATCAAATACTTCAATATTGTAATATTCTATGTAAAAGAATTTAAAAAAAATAAATTAAATCTGATAAGATCATTAATAATTAAACTTGTTAATTTTGACAAACGTCGTTTTTTACTCGTCGGAAAAGACAACTAATGTAACGAATATTTTCCGAAGAAAATAACTCTGCTATTCTCTTTGAATTTAATCGAGTGCAAAAAATACGATGATTTATAGAGCACTAAGTGCACTTTATTTTCTTGTCATCAAACGGAACTCAAATTATATTACAAAGCTGGTTCTTTTCTTTCTTTTACTATTAACAGTTCCTATGTGCTAACTAAATCTTTCTATTCTTCTGAGTCTATTATTCTATGTTAAAGAGCTTCGGCTATTTACTTGCTTTATATAGATAGATACATTTCTCTAAGTAGAGCAAAAATATAGGAGAAAGAAAATTGTTTGGTTCTTTTTCTTTTTTCTCTCTATTAACCAACAGATGTCATTGATCAAGTAATGATCAAAAAGAAATCTATCAATAATATTTGTACAAGTACAGTGAAATATCTATTAGTGAACATCTTCCTACTCGGAACTTGAACTCTATTTTTACAGCCTCAACTGCTATTTTAACCTTTTTTAAATGAACATAAGAACTCTTTTCTTTTCCCTCTCCTATTAATTATTTCTGGTTAATGCACAAAAACTACTGTTCATTTTTTCCTATAACTGTACATAATCAGGAAAAGCAATGAAATCTCAACATTGTGTTACATAAAATGAAGAAATTCAATTAGTTAACGATTACAATGACAGTAATGACTGATCACAACGTGAATTAGCCGAAAGTTCAAATATTCCACTTGACTCTGTATTCAATATTATAAAATGAAAAAAAGAATATTTAAATGAATATCAAATGAACAGAAATCAAAGTATTAAAAGAAAATTCAAAAGTTTTGACGCAATGAAACTTGATGAATATAAACTTGAATGAATTGTACAGTAACGTTCGTCGAATTCACAAATATGGAGACCGAAATCATATTATAAGGCTTTGTGAAACATAGCAAGTTTTTATGTTGTGTTGAAAAGGTTTTGGATTCATAAATATTCACATGAAGGAAGATAAATGACACAGAGCATAATCTCCGATTTCTCATTACGAGTATCTAAGTTTACACTCTAAAAATTTTTTCATTTCATAGTAAAACATATGATATTTCTCAATATTGAACACTTTTCAAAAGTTCCGCTAGTGTTTATCTAAGAGAGTTTTTACTGTATTTCTAAAAATCATTTTTTCCTAAAAACTAAGTAAATTAATAGAATGAAAATAATAGAAATATTTTAAAAATTGGTACATCGATATTTGAGTCACGACATTTATACTTCTCGGTAGTTGAGCTTCTCAGATATTTGAGCTTCAATAGATTATCAATGTCAACGGGAGTGGGTGTGGGTGTTGGTTGTCTCTTAACCCACACCCCCAAACAACAACAGATCATCTCATTTTTAGTTGCACAAATGAGCGACTCTTGAATTTTGTTGTTTCTTTATTATCTACGGTATAATTATCTCTCGTACAGTGATGAGCTGCAGAAATAAATGTGCCTTATTCGAAGAAAATGACGCAGCTAATTCCAAAAAGTGAGTACTAATTAGAATTGACTTTGACTTCGAAGATAATTGAAATCTAAAGTGTTTCTCATCAAACTTATTATTATTGAAAAACTTTGTTGTTGTCATATTTATGTTTATTTCAGTAGCAGAATCTTCAAGGTGTTTTGAACCCATTGGATGTAATATCACTTTTTGGGACTCGCAGAGAATGTGTGAATGTTGATGGTTATGGAATTTCCTTTCATTAATGCTTAACCACAAACACTCAAAACCGAACACGACAACAAACGCGCACTCTCATTTTAGGATCACTACCGGCGTTTTTCGAAAACAAACCGCCATTTTCTTCTTGATTACTATAAAAATATGATGAGTAAAATACCCTTCTTTCTGCCTTTCAACTGATGAAACATTGGTATCTCTTATTGACAGAGAAAAGGAATGATCTTTTTTCTCATAAATTGATTTAGCTTCTGTAGCTTCTTTTCTGAACGCATAGTTATTAGCAAAATCTAAACTTAGGAGTAAAACAGCTAATAAATCAATTTTTTCATTCTAAATTTATTGAACAACCAAGCATGAATGCTCGACTCATGTAAAAAATGATCCACGCTTACTGGTTTCAGAATTGTCAATGTGGAAAAAATAGAGCTTTGGCCAAGGTCTTCTCTCTTCTTGTTCGAAGAACATCCGATGGAGGTAAGTATAGCTATCATGCTGACTCGACTATTAGTTTATACTTTTACAAAGAGTAAAAGTTTCACATTTGTCATTTTTCTCTCAGTTTTTGTCAGTCATGACTGAAAAAAATTTCATAATTCTTTGTATTTCTATTACCGAGTGAGAATATTTCATTATATCAAGAAGGAGCAGAACAGCCAGCGTGATTATGAATTTAAATGAAAGAACATACTCACTTGCTACAGGAAGGAGGAAGCCTCTGGTCGAGACTCTTTTTATGCAAATGGATGGAATTGACATCCGCAAGAGACACATTGTCTCCATGAGAGGATCATTTTTCACAGTGGATCAAGCCTTCGTGCTTGACTCCTTCATCACAATCATAGGATAAAATTGTATTGATGGATCATAAACCATTTACTTAAGATACCAGTATTCATTTCTTTTTTATCAGAATAAAAGCAATCAGAGGGTATATTGTCACATGTGATAGAACTATTTAGCAATTGCTGAATAGTACAAATGATTTTGTATCCTTTCTGTGTCCGTAGATTTTGATTATAGCAACGTTCAAAATCGTTCATCTTGCTTGTTATTAATGTCGATGCAATGATTACAATTTTGTCATTGATAGTTTATGATTTAGCATAAAATATTTATATTGTCTGAAACAAAACGTTTAGAGTCAAATCGATTTCAGCTCAAAACATTCTGAACTGTGGGAATCACTCGTTGCCCTAGACAAGTCTTTCAAAATTATTGGAAATCAGATGACACCATCATCAATTTCGAATTTTATTGTAATGCGATAAAACGTTACAAACGAAATTCTTCAAGAATCTTGTTTCTATTCAATATTCAATTATTCTTCGTCCATCGAGCACTTCAATCAGTTCACGATAGTGACATTCTGGTTGCCGAGAACATCTAGAAAAGATATTCATCTTAACGCATTTCTTTGGTTACTTGAATGACTTAGTCAAGCGATTTTTGTTCAAATATGTCAATATCAGATTGGCTCCGAACCGATTTTGAACGTGTTGTGTAGTGTATATCAATATTTCATCTGATGCTCATATAATCTTATATAAATCTTTCAACTATTCCAATATAAACTGAGATGATAACCACTGAACTTATTGAGTTGTATTCAAACGACTAGAATTCAAACGACGATGTACGAAGTCCATCTATTTTTTTGTGCTTCTCTTTTTATGAAAGAAAAATAAGCAATGAAATTATTTTCATCACTCAGTGTCCATCAATGACAAATAATTACAAAGAAAGCAGTCGGTTGTACAAAAATATATGTCGATATATACTATGTACACAAATGCAGAACCAACACTATCGAATAAGAAAAATCTTTCAACTGATGCGGATAATCTTAATGTTTTCATCAACGAGAGAATATGTAATGATACCAAGCACATCTCAACGAGTTACTCATCTAGTCACTTGTTCTTCTGTAAAAAAAAAATCAAACTGAAGAATTTATTCAGTGCCACTTGTTTATCAAGAGAGCTTCATACTGCTGCCATTTAATGGGCTGCTGGTGTATCAAAAATAAAAATACATCCATATGATTCATGAAAAATTACATCAACATTCTGTAGGGTCGGTATAACGATGACATCATTAGTTCATCAGATATTCATTCTAACTCGTCATTTCTTTGTAGTAATCATCTACACAAATTTTCTAACAGAGAAACCGTGTACAAGAAAATGATGTTGAATAGTGGAAACTGATATCAAAATCTTCACTGCAATTCCTCAAGATGACTTTAAAATACACGTTAAACACAATTGAAATAAACCAATAATCATTTTTTTTTCTCTAATCATTTGAATGTCTTCAATCTCTGCAACATGTACATTTACGAAAAGACTTTTGCGATTTCAATGCATATTATTGGAAAACATAATTTTCTTTCAATTAGTTATTTGAAATTTAATTTCATCAATTGGAATTCAAAACAAAAATGAGAAATCTTCGTTCTATTTGAACTCTATACAAAATTTTAATCGTTAACACGATGAAAAACGTGATGAAAAGTAAAAAGGCATGTTTCGTTTATTTATGTAGCCGTGACGATTCAGTTTTGAGGTTATTCAATAGAATATTCATTCTACTTCAAATCATCTTCATTTTATGTTTCTCATCACCAAAAAATTCGAAAGATTCAAAGTTACACCATAGTGCTTTGAGCAGCTGATACGCAAATATTAATAATCATTCCTGAAAATTTTGAAATAACAATGCAAACGAAAGTTTACGTTATTTTTTTTATAATTGAAAAATGCATCGAATTGAATGGTATGAGAATAATCATAGTCTATGTTTACTCTGATTGTACGTTCCGATTTTCGTTTCAGTATTGAAAAATTTATTGGTTTAAAGCTTTTTCTCTTCAAGAAGACTCTCAAGAAACTTGTAGAAGATATTTTAAAGATTGCATACACGCCTTTATCTATAATATTTATGTTTGTTTAAAGAAAAAAAATGATCATCTAGTCGGTGTCTATCTTTGAGACTAACAACATCTAAAAAAAATGAATTCAACAATTTGGTAGTGAACAAGCATACAATTACATTCTTTATCGAGTACGTTGAAGAAAGAAAAAATAGTTGACAGTCATTTATCATGCGTCTTCTATTATCTGTGCTTGGATTGTGCAATGACGCATGCGTTTATTACTTCTTACCTTTTTTTCTACCTTACCGTTGATTTTCAATTGCGAAGCACATACAGAACACTTCTTTTATAATAACAAAGTATTACTTGCTATATTTTCGCTTTTAAATTTTAATTTTCTTGATAGCGTTGTCAGCCTATAGAAATTAAGGGCTACCATTGATGTACATTTAACAGACAAGTACAAAACTTCAATAGAAGGTGGTGATATTGATCGAGATCGAATTGTTGATGGTCATCTTTTACCAGATGAATATTTTTGTCCAATTTGTCGTTGTCTTCTGTGGAATCCACGTTCATGTGCATCGTGTCAACATTTATTTTGTTAAAAATGTATTCACACTTGGCTAGAATATTCGAAAAATAGCAAAACATGTCTATTTCGTTGTCAATCATATGAAGAACGACGTTGCCCACCATTTCTTTATTCTTTATTATCACGTGTAAAAATTCAATGTCGAAATGCTTCATTTGGTTGTGCTGAAGTTTTACCTTATGATTCATTAGAACGACATGAAAATGTGGAGTGTCAATATTTGACTCGAACATGTTGTGAATGCATGAGATTGATACTTGCATTAGAATATACTGAACATATTCAAAAACCTGGTAACTGTATTCCATGTTCGATTCGATGTATAATTTGTCAATTGCTCATTGAAAAAAACGTATTTAGAGATCATTTTAATCAATGCTATCATAATAGACTTAATAATGTACTTGAGCAATTTTTTACACAACGATCAATATTGACCGAACACGGAGACATAATGCCGTTAACTGCAGAGCAAAGAAATATGCATTTTTTGTACTCGATATTCAATACGTTCAATTTGTTGGAACAACAAGGACAAAATTCGCGATTGCCATCGAATTTACTTGGTGTTGATATGATTCGACAAGCACGAGAACGTGGATGCGGTCATTTGTATCATATATTTTTGATGATAATATTCATTCTGAAGAATTGGAGGAGAGCGCCGCAACTCATTTGGATGGTATCGTTGTCCAGTTTCTTAGCTATTAGTGTCATTATCATTGGAGTCTATGTGATCTGCCTACGTTGAATTTCAAAACATATCTATCAAGGTTTTTGTCTTATTATGTTATTTAGTTTTCTGTTAAGCTTTGCAATTCCTTACTTTTTTCAATTCGTTACAGATAAGTGGATCATATTCTCGTTTGGACTCATACTATTTTGTTTCGATTGCTCACTCCGAGGACCATTAGAAGCATATGACATGAATCCGTACATAGATAACACTATTTTCAATATTGGTAGATGCTGTTTTGGAGTACTGATTATGAAGATTTTTCTATTGTTCTGTCGATTCTTTTTCTTGTATTCACCAATATATTTGACGGCAACTATGCTGGCTTTCATAAACACTTTTATTGTTCTTCGTTTACGACGCTCTATCAATATCATCACGACAACAAATATAGCTTAACGATTATTCATCGTGTAATGACTTATTATAATAGAGCTTATCAGTTACTTCTAAAGTGTATTTATCAGTCGTTACAGCAGTATCGCACTGACGCTTTATTTTATCCGTCAGCGTCTTTTTTGCGAGGACATCATGATGTGGGTGTGAGTATTGTTTAAGGTGTCCGTGTGCGTATGCATGAAAAGACTCACACCCACACCCTGATGGGCCTAGATCATCATTATTTGTAAGCACATATAAGTCTCCACTAGTTTCATACATTTCAGATAATTGTGGATAATTTTTGTGGTAATAAATTCAACTGAATTTCTAAATATTGATGGTAATATTTTAATGCTTCATCATATTTTTGTTTCATTTGTAAAAGCTTGCTAGAACATATATAACTTTGGGCCATGTGTAAATGATCATGTTTTTCAGTTGTTAGTGTCTCTGAGCATTCCGATTGAAAAAAATCCCGATAAATCATTAAAATTCATTAAGTTTATCTTTGGTAAAAAAAAATAGACCATACAAAGTGTGTAATATAACGATTTCTGAAGAATTAAAATGGGAAGATATACTCACAATCATATCAGTTATTGTTTTGAAATGAGTTTCAACTAAATTACGGCCTCCTTTGACTTCAGCAATCAATGTTAATTTGCGATAGATATCAGTAACATTTTTTCTATTCTCTGATGATAAAGATTTAAAATACTGTTGATAATACTAAGAAATCTTATCAAAATATTCCATCTCGAATAATATGTTTCCAATGATCTGAAACTTATTTATTGTTGTTAATATTTCTCTTCTTAATTCTTGAAAGAGTTCATTTAATTCATTACTATTTTCATCACATAAAATCAATTTTATGGTTCAAATATAGTCCGTTTGATCTTGATATTGTACTATTATAATTTTGAATATATTACCAATCATAAACATGATTTCTGCTTCATTGTCGAAATTAATCAAATAGCAAATATCAGAAAAAATGGTCTCGATAGTAGGAATGAATAAATATATGATTCTGTCGTAAATAAAACCAACGTTTGAGATGAATCAGTAACCTCATTAGATCGAATGAATTCAAGTGCAATTTGTTTGTCCCTACTGGTACAAAAAATGTAGTTGTAGATATGTATTGGCTCACATTTTGTCGAAGTTTTTTCCAGTCTTCGACAGACACTGCTTGCCCTCTGTATGAATGAATGACTCTGTTTAAGGTTTGATCAGAATGTTGTTCTTCTAATTTGAGACAATAATTTAGTTCTCCATTATTTAATAGTTCATTGATATCATGTATAAGACAGCGATATACACAGACTGTATCAATGCTTATGTACGTAAAACTGTGTTCAAAAATTGATAAAACAATAGTTCTTTTGTGAATCAGAAAATGGCGTACACTCGTTTGTAAGAGTTTTTAAATTCAGCAAGTACAATATATTGCTCATAACATAGACTAATAAAATCATCTATCTATGTTAGAACATCTTCGTTTCTTAATCTTAAAAAGCATCAATAAATAACTTCGACCATAAAACATTATTATCCAATATCCTACGATTATGTTCTTCTTTATTCGTGTTATCCCATATCAATAGGCTCCAAAGTAGTAGAGTAGATGCAATCGTGCGTTCGTATTTTTCTCGTTCTATTTAATCTTGAGCAATTTTAAAGATTAGTTCAGACAGTTTTGTAGGGATGGCTTTGGCCTACATAGAAAGAAAGCAAATAATTATGAACACTATTCGGTTGTCAATGAAGAAAAAGTGTGATAGTGATAAATGGTAAAACATGAAAAGTTATTTCTAGTCGTAAACTACTCACTTTATTATAAGTTTTTGACTATATTTCACGATTCTCTTTGTCATTGTCATCACAAAGTCTTTGACAGTTACATATGAAACAATAAGAATAATTTTCTTATTTTTTAATTGTTGAATAAACTTTCCGCAGTTATCTGCATTGATGACAGTAACAATAAAATTAATTGATTGTCGTAGTTTCATTTGTATTTCATGGTATGTTTTATCTGAAATAGTATTGGTACCATAATACCAAATAAGTGTAAATATGCCAAGATTGCGTTGTCTGGATTCATAGACATTGTTTGATTTCGGATTTTTGTTTGCTATGAAATTGCTCATCGAAATAATTCGCTAGTGATATTAAACTATTTACCGACGCTATAGTACTGTTGTGTTGCTGTTTGTTCAAAAGTCAATCTGAATTCATGATATATGATGTGTAACACAGAGTAAATCTCTATCAAACGCCTGGAAATCGATAAATTCTCATTCCAATCGATTTCAGTTGGATGTTCGACTTGATACTATAATCCATGAGAATTGCTCTCAGACGATATCGACAGTGCTCAGAGCGATTCACTCTCTCTATAAAAATTTTACTTTAGAGTTTACACCCAACTGAAAAAGTGAGTGAGTGTGTATGGGTGACAATCTTCGATTAATCTTTCTCTCTTATTCACAAACTCGAGACCGAATATTACGAAACATAAGTAGCCGAATATCCTTCATAAATGGAGTACCTAGGTAAGATAATCAGGGTGGGGTGTGGGTGTGTCAACAAAGAGAGGAATATTACCCATCCTCACCCCCAGCATAATCATAACATCGCTTACATTCTCCCCCTCAATCATTGCTCACTGTCTTGTTTGTTTTTTTCATTTCTGTCTTTTTTTCGCTTATTTCTTTGTTTACGAGAAGAAAAAACGAAACAAATGAAGCACAGAAAAAAAATCATTCTGAAAATTGTTCATGCTGAATAATACAAAGTGAATTAGATTCTTTTAGAATTAACATAACATGACAAATTTATTGTTTTATCAGTCATAAAAACTGAACGACTTCTGATGATTTTTTTAATAATCTTACTGTAAAGACTGTTTTCGTTACTTTTCTGTCTTTCTGTCCTCCACACTTCTATGTAATTTCGTTCGATAGTAAAAACCTACCAACGTTCACTATGTGAAATCAACAACACAGCGGGAGAGTGAAAGTAAACATCATGAAAAAAGACATCACTTGAGCAAGAGCGTCCGTTGGAAAAACCCCAGCCACTTTCATTCAACAATTCATATGAAATACACTCAATCATTGATCACACCAAAACGATCATCAAACGTTGGAGACTTAGTTTGAGATTAAATGGACTGCCGATATCATTTGGTTTTTCTTCATTGGGTTCCCAAGCATATTTCATATTCTCAACTTCTTTATGAGAAGATCTGACAAATACAAAGGAACAACAATAAATGAGAAATAGACGTAAAAGTTGAGAACATTACAGAAACAAAATTGATGTCCTGAGTGAAAAGCATACTTTTCAGCATAAAATATATTTTTTTCATTTTCATAGAACAGGAAATAAATTGTCAGAGAAAATCTGTATTAAAGAGACGTTTTATGAAAAACTGGGTGTCGACCGTTAGTGTCAGCCTCCCTTTTATACGTCCACAACCATACTCACATCCACACTTTCCTTTCAGATCGTGTTTCACAAAATCATAAAATCAAGGAAAATTTCAAACAACTTAAATCCCTATTTCTGACAGAAGAAAGAACGATAACATGAAAGGCTAACTTATGTCTCTTAGGCGACTTGCTCTTGTCTTGATCAGGATAAGTGATTGTATACAATTCTAATTGTTTCAATTCATTTTGATTGGTAACAATAACAGAAGAACCATCGTAAAACGAACATATATCATCTGCATATTCATTTTTACTTATCGAATCATCATCTAGGTCAATATAAGTAATAAATGAGGAAAGCGAAGTATAATCATTTTCTATTGTTTTGAAGGATAATTCATCAGAAGAACATTGTTNTTTGTTAATATCCGAAACCTTTGCAATTTCTGATAAAAAGTTTCTTAAGAATTATTAAAAACCAGACTTCTTTATGATGAATGTCTACAGATGTAAATCTTCATAGTCTTCAACGCGTGTTCAAATTTTCCAAAGCTCATATTTCTTACACTATATATATATCTTGTTATCTTTCGCCAATAAGAAATTCTTATTATTGAAGAAAAAAAAAGGAAGAAAGACTTTATTCATTACTTGTAAAAAGAAAGCCGACACTGAATATATCATGTCATCATCCTCAACAGCACAATTAATTCTTAATGCTTCTCAACAATATACACTCTATGTTAGTTTTATTATTTTATTTTCTGGTGTTTTTGGACATATTGCAAATATCGTCGTATTTGTTCGTCTAACAATTTTTCGAGGAAATCCATCTGCTTTTTATCTCATTGCAGAATCAATTCTTGATTTACTTGAACTTATAATTGTATTTACATCTAATATTGCAATTAATGGGTTTGGTATTGATCTAGCACAGACATCATTATTTTGGTGTAAATTAAAACCATTCTTCACACAATCTATAAATCTTATTTCACTTAATATTGTTTGTTTTGCTGCTATTGATCAATATTTATCAACCAGTTATCATCCATTTTTAAGACAAAGCAGTACAATAAAGTCAGCTAAAATTCTTACTACTATTGCATCCATATTTTGGATTTTACATGGTATATTAGCCTTTTTCTTCATGGAAATTCAATCAATATATGGATGTACAATGTATAATGAAAATTTTAGAAATTATGTTACATATTTCTATTATCCTATACTCATTGGAACTCTACCGATCACTGTTTCGACATTTTTCAGTATATTAGCTTATCAAAATGTTCGGCGTATTGTACGACGTCAAATGCCAATACGTCGGCGAAAACTTGATCAACAATTGACAGCAATGATTCTTGTTCGAGTTGGATTTTTAGTCATTATGATATTACCGTATCTTTTACAACGGATTTATGCACTTAGTACATTAAAAAACAATAACAGTCCAATTTCTCAAGCCATTTTACAACTTATCACAGCTATAACTGTTTCATTGTTTAATCTTAATTATGCAGTATGTTAAGTTTAGATATTTACTTTATTTATCTTGATTATTTTAGGGTTCTTTCTATATATTTTTAATGTCATCAACACGATTTCGTCGACAAGTTAAATATGTTTTTATAAACAGATGTTGGAGAGTGTATTGTAGAAAAATAATACGTCAAAATCAAGTTGGAACATTAGAACAACGTTCCACTAGTGAATTTGATTTACAATCAATGTAATAATGCATAACAGATCATTATGCGATTATTATTCATATAATGCTATTCAATACATAATATGAAATATGACAATGACTTGTATTGGACAAGTGTATGTGGGGATAGATGTATGAGTGTAATACTGGTACCCTTGAAACTTTAGAACGGTGTGAAAATCTTTGTCCGAGGTAGTGTCTATTTAAAATAGCGAAGGACTTCTAAATGTTTGTTCTGTGTATGGAATATAGTTCGATTGGTATTTTATGGTAAAACAATAAATCAGAATGTTCTAGATGCATGCAATGAAATTGTCAAAAGAACACAATATCAACACTAATAATTTTCTAAGTGTATTACACATTTTCATAGACATTTTAATCCCTCCGGGACGGGTTTCTTTATAATGAAACACGGAATTAATTGAAGTAAATTAATTTTTCTTTCTAGTCAGCTTTATACATCTTACAAAGACAGGTACGGCTCATATAAATGTCGTGCGTAGGAAACTATAGAGCAATCTGAAGCACATAAATGATAATTATGAGGCATCCATATATTTGAACTGTTTCAAGACGAACGACGCATATATGAGTCTCCCGTCTCGAAGGCGTTAAATAGAAATGACAACTAAGGGAAATTCCATTTCGATACACTTATATGTATTGTTCTGGTATCGTAAACTATAGAAATTTCAAAATTAGAACATTTAGAAAACAATTTTTTTAATCTATCTATATATATAAAGAAGAATGCTTGCCTGTTTGTCTGTTCGCTATTCACTTGTACACGGTATGAGCAAATGCAATGAAATTTTGCAGGAAATACCCTTTCGTCCAGGAGAAGGTCACAGGATGGTTTTCGACCCAAAACTTTCACCTGAGGGGGTGTTTGCCCCCTTCTTTTGTTGAATTACTACAATAAATGCCTTTTCTAGAGAGTCTGTGCGTGTGATTGTTTCTGTCTATATACCATAAGGAAAAAACGTGTATATGAGTCTTTTTTTCTAGCTCACAATGATGGCACATTCGTTCTTTTTCCTGACTCACAGTGGTGCCGGATTAGTGATATGAATGTATTCGTTTACAATGTTTAGATAATCAGCTGTAGCATATTTTTGAATATAATTTGGCTTCTTTGTCATTCGTTATGCATGTCCATGATGTAACGCATTCCTTCTGACACATCATATGTCGTCATTAGAATTTTCGCATCACGCTGTAGGATGACGTTATAGGAATGTTTCAGTGTTTCATATCTATATATAGAGATGTCCTTTTCTATTGTTTTTCGATAACAGAGTTATATATCAAATCTATGAACATATGTGCGCAAGCTAGAGCTCACAAACAACATACGAGTTCACTTGCAGAGTGATTTGTCTGCTGGCCGTTTTGCTCAAGAACTGCTCACTCTTGGTGATGGAAAAGTACGAGCTGATCCAACAAGTGGACTCATCAGCATTCCAGAGAACTTTTGCAATATAGCACAGTCAGTGGAAGAACTGAAAACAAGTGTGTTCTCAAATATTCGGCACCATTTCAACGATCACAAATGACTTTGTGAAGGTGCCATTCTTGCTCCTAAAAATGGCAGTGTAAATACCATGAACTTACAGATTCAACAGCAGCTACCTGGAGAAGCTACATCGTACAAATGGATCGATACAGTTGTGCATGTGGACCAGGCGGTTCATTATCCCACCGAATTTCCTAACTATCNTAAAAGCAAATGAAATTTTTTTCGAGTGAATGACTCGAGTCACACAGTCGAGTCAACATCATCCGATTTCCGAGTCCAAGTCGAGTCCAATTCAGTAAAAAAATGTGACTCGAGTCGACTCGAGTCCGAGTTTTGACTCGGACTCGTCCATCACTAACCTTTCATTTGAGATTCTTAAATCGAAAATCAAAATTTTATCGGCGGCCGACTTGTTTGGTGGTCTCGCGGACCCTCTCTTAATTTGCATAACTGTAGTCTATCAAAAGCTCGATAATGTTCCAGCTAGGCATCAGGACTATCCTTAGAAAAATAGAGAATATGGTCTACTTTTTATTTCAATTCATCATTGCTTCAAAATGAAAAAAATAATAAAAAAGAATAACTAATGTAGTAATATAATAAAGATAAGCATTTCTTCTTCCCCAACGCTATTCGCAGACGAACTTGAAACATTGTTTATGGAACACCCGTAACTCAAAAATTTTCATAATAAGCTGGTGCAACTTGATATTCGATGAATGCTCCATAAAGTGTAACTCGTTCTGGCCCTTGAATTTTTAGCACAACTTGATAATTTTCATCAGATGTTTGTACAACTTGTTCTGCCGTTGTACTTGAAATCAAAACTTCTTGTCCATTTGGATAAATTCTGTAGGCTGGTAGACCAAAAGTATTGCTTAGTGTGACTGCAAATGGTTGTTTTAAATTTGTATAATTTGCTGCTTCTATATTGACTATCAAATTGTACATTGGATAATTCCAAAACAAACTTACATTTGAACAATCGTAGAATGGTGTGTCAGAGATACTGAGAAAACTATTGTTGCATTTGAAACCCGTCGACAAATGACCATAACATGGAAATTCGGGACCGCTCGTCCAATATCTTGGTTCACAGTTGAATTCGTCGGATTCAAGATCGTCTCCAACGACAACATTTGCAACAACAGGAAGCAGGACTAGAACGATGAATCGAAGCATGTTTTAGTATTACAGATTAGAATGTTTTTTCAAACGTTTCATGTTGTTTTTATTTCGTTTTTCAAAAGAGAAATAATTAAAAAGGCTTTAGATATAATCTTGAATGATTGATATCAAAGTTTGATGCTAGTGAGTGTACTGGACTTGTGAGTGTGATAAAAAAAGAGAACAAATTAAAAAGATATTGAATATAATCTAGCAAGATTGATATCAAAGTTTGATTGTAGTGAGTGTATTGAACTTGCAAGTCATGTAGAGTGTAGATGAATCTTTGAAATGGAGCGTCAAAACTTTTAGATTGTATAAGACAGCATTGACGAGAAACTAGGACGAAAATATTTCAACTCTAGCATAACATTGATCAAAAACAACGATTCGAACAAACGATTGTACGTCCCTTTCCCTAGGACTAATGATGCTTGAAATGAGCAAGTGAGACGTACTAAATATTAACATCTAACAGCAGTTTCATTTGAATACCCTGAAATGTATGAGAGAAGAACTCTGACTTGAGGGCTTTATGTTCAATAAGGTGATATGGGTGTGTGGGGTGTGTGGGGTGTGAGTGTGAGCGTTGACGATTCCAAGGAGATAAGGCTGACGCCTACACCCACATCCAAGAGTCAATATTGGAGATAGTTGCTCATAAAACATGGTAGAAAATTATGTTGATCAATTGTAGTCAAGGAACAAAACGGGAGAAAAATATTATTTTGAAAACATTAAGGAAGACAATCTCAACGAATCAATATTCTTTCTCAACGTAGGAACTTATCCAATTGAGCTTATGAAACGAACGAGAACGCATTCTGTAGTTCCAAAATTGATTTTTGAATTCACTGAAACCGATCAGGTGTTTAGTAGAAGGACAGAAGACACGTTCTTTTTTTTCTAAGAAGGATGTTGAATCGTCTTGAACTGATTCATCAACTCAAAGAATCTATTCTTGAGCGATGCTGTAGAGAACATCAAATAAAGCCATCCTATTTTGAAGAAATTCGTTCCTGACCTTTCCAAATAAGGATGGAAATGAAACCATTCTTATAATTAGTAGAATGATTTTGAATGTTTTCTACTCAGATCAGGTACGATTTAGGACCGAAAAGAAAGCATTCTATAATAATGAGAAACGGCAAAGAACGCGTTTCTTCAAATAGAGAACGTATTCTTGTAGATTAAGAACGCATTCAGTAAATTATGGAACACCATCTTCATGGATAAGAAACCTTTCTCCAATCTAACGAACGCGTTCTCTTCCGTTTTTTTGGAATATTTTTCGCTGGGTTGATGATTTATTCAGTTAAAATAAAAAAAATAGCTCTACCATATCAAGTTAAACTGTGCTAATATGATAAACTGACGAGGAAAGTACCTAAAGTGTCCCTCGACTTCGAGCTCATATCTTGCCCACAAGTAGACCTCAATGTCAATAGTTATAGCCTAAAAGGATTTGCGCCCATGGGCTGTTGAAGCTAACTTATGATCATTTCACTGGATTTTCTATTTCAGGCAAAGCATTCATGGAAAAACCAAACGATGGTCTTTTGACCTAAAATTTTGTCCCCGAGAAAGCCTCATGATTATTAAAATGTCCTAAAAATTTCAGTCGAAATGGATGTTTTATCCGTGAGATATTGAATTTTCAAAACCGTTAAATTTGCTGACTTTTCTATGACATATGATCATTGCTTGACGATCCAATATCTTAAGGATAAAACATCCATTTTGACTGAAATTTTTAGGACATTTTAATAATCATGAGGCTTCTTCGGGGACAAAATTTTAGGTCAAAAGACCATCGTTTGGTTTTTCCATGAATACCTTGTCTGAAATTGAAAATCCAGTGAAATAATCATAAGTTAGCTTCAACAACCCATGGGCACAAATCCTTTTAGGCTTTGACTATTGACATTGAGGTCTACTTGTGGGCAAGATATGAGCTCGAAGTCGAGGAACACTTCGGATACTTCCCTCGTGAGTTACATGTCTGTGAAAAATGAAAACGTTCGAGTCTTGATGTAACAGAAAATATAAGTTCCATTAAAAAAAATTCCATTGTTCAAGTTAGAATGGAAATAAATTCATTCAATAAATGATTGATCATTTTTTTTCTTATTTATTAAAAAATGAAAATGTTTGAGTCTTGACGTAATAGAAAATATGAGTTTTATTTAAAAAAAAGTTTACTGTTCGACCCAAAATAGAAATAAAGTAAAGCAATGAATAATTGATTGTGTTTTTTTAATTTCTTTTTTTGGTATTTTTTTCATCTTTTTTCTCATATGCGAAAAGCGCACCTTCTTATTTTTTTTTTCTGTAGTAAACCCTGCATTCGACTTCAAATATCAGATTACAACAGTGGACGTTATTTAGAATATAGATATATACAATTGAGAGTGACAACGAGTAAAAATAAAAGCTTGAAGCCACATGGAATCTTAGCACAGAATAAGAAGAAAGAAACTGCAATATAAACATACAATGAAAGTCACGTCACAAGTTGATGGCATTGAATTATAATACAGACTATGAAATAAAATAAAAAATAATTATTGTTGTTATTGCTTATCTAAATGAGATGGTTGAACCACATACCAACTCCAACGATGAATGATCAATGCTTGAAATTTCTTTTTCTTGTAAAATAATCTGAAGAACAGGTTTATAATCGAACTGTATTGAAAAAGCTATCATAGAGAAATATTTAGTTTTGAAAATGATCGAAAACAGTTTGACCAACTCGATTTTATGAAAATGATGTACTCTTGTTGACGATGAAAACGTATTTTAATTTTTAAATGAGATATTGATTGACGGTATATATATATATAAAGTGATCAATTCAGAATGAGGAATCATTGAACTGCACAATCGAATTTAAAATGACAGAAGAAGAAGAAGAAGAAGCTTATGGTTCGACGCTGGAAGTGGGCTTGAAACATGTGAGGATTTATTATCCTTTAATTGTGAAGTAAAGATCAATGAAAGGTATACTGTTATCTAATAAGACTTTCACCTTCAGAAAATCGAAACCAATCGTAGCACTTCAAAGCTCTTACAATTGAATCTCGTTGTTCATCATTTTTCGAGATATTTCGTACTGTTTTCAACAAACAAAATAAGATATATGTATTCAGTGCACAGATTTCATTAAAATTGAAATTTGTTGGTAATACAGAAAAAAAAGAGGAAATGTAGTCAAGAAGCTGATAGGAGGATGCCAGCTACTTGATAACGTTCGTTGATATTGATGATGGTTGATGCCAATGTTCGAGGATGTGGGTGTGGGTGGGTGGGTGTCGATGTCGGTGTTTGAAGAGATTATATACGCCCACATCAACCCACACCCACACCCACACCCCACACCCACACCCACACCCACACCCACACCCACACCCACACCCACACCTACACTACACCCACAGCCACACCTACACCCACAGCCACACCTACACCTACACCCACACCCACACCTACACTACACCCACACCCACATTCACACCCACATTCACACCCACATCCATACCCACACCCATACCCACACCCACAAACCCACACCCACACCTGCATCCTCCTTTACTATGGATATTTGATCTAACGTTATTCTTGAATAAAATTTTCTAGCCTATCATCCATTTCGTTCAACCAGGGTGTATGATGTGGTTTGGCCATTGTATTAGTTAATACTGAGGCATATGTTTTTTCTCTATAGGTGAGCATATTCTCGAATCTTGTTTTCATACATTCAAATAATAATTGATTCATACGATGAATATCGAAGCGTGGATAATCTGTTGCACTGATTAAATCCAGAACAATTTCTCGTTGAAAATTAACATAATCAGTAAAGTTTTGAATTTCTTTTTCTTTTTTTTGCCATTCTGCTATATCGGATTTCATTTCATCTTTTGTTGAAGGTAAAATAATTTTTCCTAGAATAACATCACGAGCATACCATGCTAAAACATTACCAATATTAAAACTAAGTCCCATACGTTGCATAGCCAAATAGAGTAAACGTGGTTGATTTAACCAAAATATTGTTTTATATAAATTCGGAGGATAAAAACAGTTCGATGATAATTTGAAACGAAGATTATCATCGAGAAATGGAAAATAATATAAATAGCCAGTACAAAAAATTATTGCATGTACTGTTTCAGACGAGCCATCATTAAAATATACTATTTCATTATCAATTTTAACAACTAATGGTACTTCTTTAATTTTATCAGGCCATTTGAAATCTTTTGGCTTAGTTCGATATGATATTGTAACAGACTTTGCTCCATATTTGTATAATTGTAAACTAATATCTTCAGCTGAAAATCCATTACCAATAAGTAGTACATGCTTATCAATAAAATCTTGAGCAAAACGAAAATCATGAGAATGTAATATACGACCATGAAATGTTTCAATTCCATCAACGTATGGTATATTAGGGGTTGAAAAATGTCCAGTAGCTATAATAACATAATCAAATTCTTCAGATCGTATTTTATCTTTTTTCAAATCTTTGATTTGTACATGAAATTTTTGTTTATTTTCAGAATAAGAAATCCATTGAACAACGGTATTAAATTGAATATATTGGCGAACATTGTTTTTTTCAGCATAACTTCGAATATAGTCATAAAAAATAGATCGAGGCGGAAACGATGGAAATGGTTGACCGAAATGTTCATCGAATGGATAATCAACATATTCTGAACATTCTTTCGGTAGATTTGTCCACAAATTATGATACATACTACTATGAACAGGTTCAGCATATTCATCGAACCCTGTTCGCCATGTGTAATTCCATTGACCACCTAAATCATTTTGTTTTTCAAAACATACTATTTCAGGAATTTGAGAACCACTTTGTCGAGCTGATTCAAATGCGTGTAGCTGACTAAGGCCAGATGGACCTGCTCCGCAAATTGCAATTCGAGTTGATGAATACATATTGTCAACTGAGATACAAACAGAAAATATCTGAAATGCAATTAGTAAATATTAACGTTACGATTAGGAAATAAATAATCAATATGTGAAAATACTTTTTTGACCATTCGAAGGGTATGGATGTGGGTGTTTCTACTTAGGACAATCCAAAAGTAGTGACCCAGGTACCTTATTTTCTTACAATAGACTTGTTGAAATTTTCTTCTTATATGAGATAATAGAGAAAACGAAGCTCTGTTTTTCAATGCTGTTTGATCGCTATTCAACTGCTACCATAATAATAAAATTTCAATAAGAACTGTTTTCGTATAAAACATAACTATTACATTCGATCATATTTTCATCTATGTGTATTTTCTTTTTGGTGTTTTTCCTTGTTCTTCCTCTTCACTTTACTTTCTTTTATTTTCCTCGTCTCTTCTAATACCTGTCCCTCTACACATGGATATACACTTATGTATATGAAGGGATCTGTTTAACTTGTTTCGTGAGTATGTGAAGTTTAGTCAAGTGCATTCAAATACGTCACTACAATAAAGTAGCGTGTTAAGTAGGATCCTGATCTTTTTGTCCTTCCTCCTTCACTGTCATGGCTGTGATATGACAATATCATCGAGATGAACACGTCTATTTTCTCCTCTTTCATTTTGTTAGTATGTATGAAGAACACACACTATATTTCTCTCTCCTATCTTCTCATATATATTCAAGTTATCCAAGTGCATTTTCTGTTTTCTGTTCTGTAGTACTCTCTCTCCAGATGGAGTCATCTCTCTCGCTCCTTTCCTCTGACTCATGATCTTCTGGAATGTTCTTCGATGGCCGAGCTCACGTATATATACCGACTACTTTAGACGGGAAGTTCAGTTTTGCGCATATTAAGCCTGTAATCACTTTGAGTTAATAAACAAGTCGCAAGAAATCACTTCACAAGGGTTAAATTTTAATACTACTCGTTGGTTTTAAATGGATAAAGAAAACTTTCGGTCTTATATTAAAGTGTGTACTGCACTTAATATCCCAGCGTGAGTTATTCATAATGAACTGTATTCTGTCGATGGTGATCAAGCTCCTTCATTTAGACCAGCTAAAAGATGGAAGAAATGATTTCGTGAAGGCCGAGAAGGAGTCGAAGATGAAGCACGACCTGGCAGACCTATTACCAAAATAATACATGAAAATATTGAACAAGTTCGTCTTCTTATTGATGACGGTCCTTACATGACAATAGAAGTGATGCAGGAACAAACTGGCCTAAGTTACGGCACCACTCAGCGAATCATCTCCGACCATTTACAGCTTACAAAAAATTACCGCTCGTTATATTCCTAAGCATCTGACTAATTTACAGCGCGCTGATTGAGCTCGGGTATGCAAAGAAAACTTCGAAAAATTTGAAAAAAAAATATGGCGCTTATGTGATGTGGAGACTGGTGATGAGTCATGGTGTGGGTGTGGGTGTGGGTGTGTGGGTGTGGGTGTGTGGGTGTGGGTGTGGATGCCGTTTGGATGTGGACGTGGGTATGAGTAGAGTGTGGATGTTGCTGTGGATCTTCTTCTAACCTACACCCACACCCCATACCTCACATCCCACACCCATACCCACACCCTAACTTCATAATGTCTGACGCTGTTTGCTCTGACATAGACACATTAATAGGTGGAATAAGTGTTCTGATCAGCTATCTTACGGACCTCTACATGAGTTTAAATACGTTGATATTATTCTCATGATATTCTGTATTGCTTAAAACTTTTCACTGACATTCTGATAAATAACTGAGTAATTGCGGCTTCCGTACCGTTACCATCATCAGCGTTTGTGAGAGCAGGAGATTTTTTTGTGACTCTCAAGGATTCTCATATCCGGTGAAGCTTTTAGCATTCATTCTTACAGATTTCGCTATCATCCGAAGCTTTATGGAGTCATTTCTATGAATTTCTCTGTGAACCTGAGGTTTTCGCCGCCACACTGCCAAATTAATGAAAGGCGAGAAATCTTGCATACTGGCTTCGAAACATGACCATGTGACGCAAAGTTTTTCGATCTGATTTTCACTCATAGTTGTTGAGAACAAAGTTTTTTTGTCAATGATTTGCGCATTGGCTTGTGGCTCGAAGTGCTTGGCCATTTATGTTTCATATTACTGTGAGTGATGAAGGTTGTCCCTCTAACTTTGTTACATCAGTGAGTAAAGCGAAGCTTTCTGACCTCACCGTAATGGATTTTGCTGTGATTGGAAGCTTTTCTACTTTTATTCTTACCAACATTCAAATTTTACCATTGTGTTCGTGTCCTCTTTATACCGTAGCCTCATTAAAGTTGCAAGTGCATTATATTCATTTTTGCCTTCTGATGTCTTTAATAACTGAAATTAATGAATAGAATGGGAGAAAAGAAGAAGTAAAATATTCGCGGTTTCTTTGCACTAAGTAAATAACAGTCAAAATAATTTCTTTTGCATTTCGAACCTTCTGAATAAGTTACTTACTAGGATTAAATTATTAAAATCACCAAGTTCTACGTAATTTGAATAATGTGTTGCTGTTGATTAGAATATTTTCTGTGTCTTACACCGTTGGCTTGTTTGTTTTTGAATGATTCGTATCTTACTTTTGCAGCATATCAAACCCTTACCTTTCGTTACTGTCTGTGTTTACCTCCTATTTTTTTGCTTTTTTAAAAATTCTTATCAAATTAGCACTCTATGAGAAGGACTGCACACAACAACAATAAAACATTCACTGAAAGATAAGACGACGAATGACGACAAAGAAGCAAAAAAAAACTCTTAGTTGTTCAATGAGATTCATTTCATATGGAGTGCACAAATAGATATTGATTTCTATATAATGTGAGGTGATTGGAATCGTTCAAAATTAGACAATGACTAGTAAAGAGATATTTCCTTGCATCTCTTTTCAATAATTCGATTACTGATAGTTAACAGAGTACGACTATTCCAGAAAGATATTATTGCATTTAATTTCATGTTGAAATAAAAAAAAAACTTACATTATCAGGTACATGAGACAATTTTCCTTTCAGATGATACAAAAGTTGATAATTTTTACTTCAATTCATTTTTCAATTTAAATAGATATTTTATATGATTTGACGTTTCATCTTATTTCTCAATAAAAAAGAGGAAAAAGAAACACATTTAGCTTGTTCATTTGAACTTGAACTTTAAAAATATTTACATGCACAAAGGAATATTTCGAACAAAAATTGGTTTATTTTTTTATCTAAATCTTATGAGAAAAACCAATATTTTAAAATAGTATAATATAAATATAAAAATCGAAATGGTAGGCATAGACTATTTGAAATTTTGATGAATATATATATGAGATCTTATTGAATGCGTTTTGTAGACTATGGAAGAATCACAAAGATTTATGAAACACATGACAATGTAGATATATCCTAGAGTTTAATATCTCATAATCAAAAGACATTGTTTTAGATGAAATCAAAATTGAAAGAAATCTTGAACAATTTTTCCATAGGTCAATTCGATACCCAAAGAGACGTTCAAAGTACGTCAAAAACTTATTTTATGGAATGAAATATTTATCATTATCAGAATGTGAGGATAGCTTTACATAAGTATCCACATATTAAGATCTATTGAAAAATAAAATATCGATTAAAATCTATTACCGATAGAAAAATCAGTATATAACATGAGCATATTGTCCTTGATATTTTTGTTTTTGTGCAAGACTGTTTGTGACATTAGACTAGTAAACAGAGCTGTAATGATGGCGAGATTCTTATTGTCTTGTGACTATAGACTTTCTAGGTTTCGTAGGAGACCGACGAAATCTGTGAAAAAAGTTTTCTTGACCGTTGACAATCATTTTGAAGGTGTCTTAGGTTTTTACGAAACCTTTGTTTAGGGTTTAGATTTTTTACAATAAAATGATTTGGGATAGCATAGCACCTTCTTTTTGTAGTATAGTCTGATCGATGAGTGTGAATGTGGGTGTTTATCGTCACTATTATTCATCACCATACTCACACACACCCCACCCACACCCTAACGCGTGAGGCAGATTAAGTGTTTCAATTACTTAATACATTGTATTAAGAAACAAAATATACCACAGGATGCGGCGTGAAATGCTCTACAATTTATAAAGAACAGTTTATTATATATATGAAATAAGAAAATAGGAATTTCTCTTCGCATGATTTTTTCAATGCAGCGAACATTGGTCGCACAGAATTTTGTTTTTTTTTGGCAAGCAGTACACAATTAAAATAAACTTTACTTTGTAGATTGTAGAAATTTTCACGCTGCATGTTGTGGTGTATTTTTTTTTTAATACAACGTATTAAGTGATTGAAACAGCATTTAATTTGCCTCACCCTTTAGTGACGTTTTACACTAAACAATTCTTATCGAAATTTTATTATTATGATGCCAGTTGAATAGGGATGAAATAGCACAAAAAGTAGAGCTTCATTTTCTCTATCATCTCATAAAAAAAGAAAATTTCATCAAGCCTTCTATACGAAATTGAGATGCGGTCGCCACTACTTTTGAGTATCTCTGAGACAGAAGAAAAACAATAGAATGTCATCATTTCATCAAATAATTACAAAACACCCAATCAGTCTATTCTATTACAAAAGAATGATCAATAAATATTTGTTTACGTATATGTGATATCTTCAGTCGTTTATTTTAAATTATAACCTGAAATATAAATAAAGATAAACTAAAATTAACTTTCGAACATCCTTATTCAAAGAAATTAAAACTTCAATTCAATATCGATCAAGAAACTTAAGTTAAAAAAAACATCTTCTGTTAATATTACCTTTTCATCTAGTATATCAATTTCTTCGATCAAAAAATTCTCTAATGATTTATTCTATGAAATATTTGATTACTTTGATGCAGGGTGTAGGTGTGGCTGAGGGTGTGGCTCTTCTCTTTTCGCATTCACATCCACACTCACACCCACCAACACCCCACACCCACATCCACACGCACACCAACACCCCACGCCCACGCCCACATCCACACGCACACCCACACGCACACCCACACCCACACCCACACCCACACCCACACCCATACCCACACACAACCACACCCACACCCATACCAACACTTAAAAAATCATTCCACCCTTCATANNNNCCTCAACTTCTAAACACATAGCTGGATTCATCTCCATTCACGTCTCATTACGAGAAGGGTAATACCCTAAATCCACTCATATCCCTCAACTTCTAAATACATAGTTCATTTTCTGTAACGTGGTCGTTACAGTAAATCCACTCACATCCCTCAACTTCTGAACACACAGGTAAATCAATCTGAATTCACGCCTCATTACGGAAAGGGTAATACCCTAAATCCACTCATATCCATCAACTTCTAAATACATAGTTCATTTTCTGTAGGGTGTGGGTGTGGATGGGGTGTGGGTGTGAGTGTGGGGATGGGGATGGGGGTGGGGATGGTGTTAGTGTGTGGGGTGGGGTGGGGTGGGGTGGGGGTGGGGTGGGGTGGGGGTTGTAGTTGTGGATGTGGATATGAGTAAAGAACGAAATCATACACATACCTCACACCCACACTTACCACACCCGTTCTCTTTATTGACACACGCTTGCAATTTGAGCTACTCCAACAAGCCATATTCACATTCTCTAGATAAAATTCTAATTTTCCTCCATAGATTAAAAATTTTTCTTTTTTTCAAATATGACACTTCTTTACAGTATTTTACGTCATAAAAATTATGCAAAAAATATCGATTTCATAGTACTTTATCAAGCCGACTAATCATGAGATTATATAGTTTTAATCAGAATGAGTGTGGATGTGAATCAAAAAATATTTTCATAATTTTATTTAAAATACAAATGGTAAATCTTGAAACAAAAAGAGAAGTTGAATGTTGAAATTAGTAGATGAGAATTTTGAATATATAAAACCGAAATATGTTCATAAAGAAGAGTTTTATTGGTGTGATTGATTGCAATGAGTTTGAACGAAAGGTAAGTTAATCGAAGCCAATGCCATATTATTCCGAGTATGTTCAAGAATACTACCAGTTACAATCGTTTGATTTGGTCGATTCACTATTTTGAAACATCGAAGAAATTCGTTACGAAATAGTTTCGAAGCCAAACAATGAATATAGAAGTTGATCTATCAAAAAAATAGTTATGTTAAAATCAATTGTTAGAATATAAGATAGATATGATTGCTGTTGAAGAATTTCATAATATTAATCGTTTATCTACTCTATCCCTTTGAGAGATTAAATATACTTACAGCATAGTTAAAATCAAGTAAAAGATTGACAACGGCTTCTTCATTGATGATTTCATTCAAATCGACATGAGCATTTGTACCAAGTAGATAAGCATTGGTAATTTGAGAAATACTAATAGGCAAAGTCGTAGCTAAAAATAGAATGGCACTTGATATCATCAAAATTAACATGTGCCGTTGTAAGCGTGTTTGTCTTGTACGTTCATGAATATTGCTATTTACCGGTTGGATACGTTTTTTCTCTTTGTGAATTAAACGATGAATGCTGATACTACTGGCAAGCATTAAGATTGCAGGAACGATTGAGATAAAAACGACCTGAAATATTCCAAAGTATTTCTTTTTCTGATCTTCGTTTCTATTTCTGCCTACCTGAATAATTGGCCATTGAGTAAAAAAGAAAGGCATATAGAATGAAGTTGGATTAATAGGTCCACAAGCAACCGATGGAATACCAGGAAAGAATCTGCCAAATAGTTGAGTACTTAACATATGACTATGAAGAGCAATGCCAAATAATATAGCGATCAACACTGCAATCGATGCATTACGACGCGTACACCATTGATTAGCCTTGAATGGAAAACGCGTTCTCAGCCAACGATCTATTGCAATGAATACTAGAATCCATGCTGAACAAAATCGAATAAATCCTTTTGAAAACCAACGAAAGCGACAGACATTGTCATAAACAGATAGAAAAATTGCTCCTTGTACTATGCCAACTTCGACAAACTCAAAGATTGTTATCATTAGATACAGTATATCCGACACAGCGACCATAAAGAATAGAAATCCAGTTGATATAACACGTAAAATTGGACTCATGAATGTTACCAAACTTGCTAGATTTCCCGAAAATCCAATTAAGAATATCAATACCAATCCGTAACGATATAGAATCATAAACAATGTTCGATTAGGATGAATAATAGTAGGAGATTCTGTTACCGGAGCAAACGTGTCATTACTTGTAGTATTCATCTTTAAAACAATCTTTCACTATCAACGTTCATTATCAAATGGAATATTAAATCTATCATATCATTTTTTTTCCTAATAAAATGAACTTGCTATGCTTTTCTTATTAGTGTCAGTCGTTCTAGAGACTTCTTCATGTTTTACTCATTCATCCTAAAAGAATTGTGATGAAAAAATCTTTTATAATAAATGAATAGAATACAGCATTTACCCGGTGTTTGACATCTTGTTAATTACGCTCACATCTAGGCGTAATTCCAATGACATTTATCATCCTTTAGGAAAACTACATATTAAAAATAGATACTAATCAAATATGTTCTAACTAGAAATTTGTAATAAGAATGTTTGCATATCTAGATCTTACTAAAAGACATAGTTTTCTTCGACGAAAAAATTTGAGCAACAGATTTAGAATAGATTTATATGTAGCTTACAATTAATTTTGGCTCAGTTTATACAATTCTGTGAAGATTTCCTTTTTTTTTTAAATATGTCTTCAATAAATGACTTATAAAACACCAAGATCGAATCTATTTGATGGTCATATGTGATTGTTTATAAACTGCACAGAATGCTGTTCATCTTGTGATAATGATTCCTGACATGAAAAAGAATGTCTACATTACAATACTTTTGAAATATTTAGTGTATTAGTTTATACTTCTTATTGACTGACAGAATAAATGCATTCATTTTAACAATTAGATAAATTAAATCATAAAAAAAAAACTTTTTATTAGTAACTATCCGTAAATAACCTACAAAATAAACAGAAATTAGAAAAAAAGCAATAGATACTTATACGATTATCCCAGCATGCTTATTGTGTCTTTTTCAAAAAATAGTGTAATCAAAATCAAAACAACGCCGGGTAATTGAATAGTAGAATATTGATTTGTTTCTCAAAGATAAAAAGTTAGATAGTACTTTCTTGCAAAACTGTAAATATCGAATCTACATCATATCTGTTTGAAACACCTGCAGTCTGGAACATGACATTTCAATGATTCTTTATGCTAAAACAATAGACTATTTTCTGTTCGAGATTGATTTATGGATCAATGTTTTTGTAGTTGGAGACTTCTTTTCATCTGCTGGAAAACAGGAAAATATTTTTCAGCTGTTCTAAACATTCGGGTGTGGGTAGTTAAAAACTCAACAAATATTAGATTCAAAGTAGAATATGATGCGTTTCGACTCTTGCTTAAGGAATCATCATTAGATATATTTAGAATCTGAAACTACAAAATTTAGAAACCAATAAATCAATTGATTAACTATTCGAAAGAAAGTGAAGATTCAATTCGGCAAAGAAGTTTTCTTCTCATAGATTCCAAATCTAGATGAAGAGTACATTCAAGAAGAATCATACTTCATTACACCATAATTTTGATATTTTGTAGTTTCAGATCCTAAAGATATTTGATGATGACTCAATTGAACAAGAGTGGAGACGCGTCGTATTCTGCTTTGAATCTAATAGTTTTTGAGTTTTTAACTCACCTATACCCCATCTTTGACAAGTTTTCAATTTTTAAATGGTCAGAGTTTTTGAAATGTTGACCACTTGAACGAGATTTTTACTTATCAATAACAATTAGCTGACAAAAACCGGTATACAAGTCATATGGACGACCGATTGATATGTGCACAAAGTATCCGAAATGTTCCGAGACAAAAATGTATTTTAATTGACAAACTATTATAAAAGTGCTCTTTAGCAACATTAGTTTTTTTTATTATTAAGTTGACTGAGAGGAATTTATGTTAAAATATTCTAGATTGTTTTGGAAAAAAAGGCATTAATATTCATATCTGGTTTCTAGATACTAGGTTGTAGTTCTCTCGAATATCATTTGTAAAAAAACAAGCACGCATCTCAGCCTTTTGTTTTTTTTGACAAAATTATATAAAAATAGAGCTTTGTAGTGAATTCATTGCTCGATCAAAATTTATGAAATAAGATTGACCATATTACCATACTTTCTTCGCTGCAACCTTGAGCTGAAATCAATTTTTGAAATTGCGTCAGAATTATTGATGAACTATTTTGTTTAATGAGTTTAAATTTAATTATTACGTTTAAAGCAAAGATAAGTAAAGAAAAAGAGTCTCTAACGGTAACATAACGACTATCAATATTCTATTCCATATGCAGTAATAATTTTATTTTCATCTGAGTCATTGTATTATCTTATTCAAGATACGACAGCGTCATTTTGTCAGCTATGTTTGTAACAGAATAATCTTTGTAACCTTCGTTGTATGTTATCCATCTAAGTTCGTATTACTTTCACGTTTATGTACTTAGAAATCACGCACTATTGATTTGTTCTTCTCTTGTACATAGCAATATCCTGAATTATGTCATAACTTTTATTCTTTATCCTTACACTCGTTGTTTTTCTGTTATTTTGCTTACTGCATTGTAACAATCGAACACAACATGTAAGCTGTTACTCTTTCGTGATAGAAATAAATACGATATCTTTTTCTGTTTATCTATACCTCTATCTTTCGTTCTCTTCTATATGTACTTGGTACTGGTATTATTGGTTTGTCCTTTTCTGTTACAAAATAGAAATAGCCTCAATACACTTCTCCGTTTGTACCTCTTCACTATGTATTTAAGAATGACGTTAGCATTTTGTTCTTGTCCTTTACATACTGTTATCAATAAAAGAAATAACCGCGATGTTTGTCTCTATTTTTCCTTACATGGAATTACACTCTCGATTTATCGTTCCGTCATAAATTGTACTAACCATATTTGTAACCTAATTTTTGACTTTGTCCTTAAACTCATATTTTTCAAGATTCTTCTATGCTAAGAAATAGTATATAAGGAGTGAAGAAAATATACCATGGTACGATTTTACTTACATTAATAAAAGTATTAGGATAAAATAGCTCTTATGCTGTGCCTATTACATCTATAATCGTCATATTTATTATTTTCTAAGGACATTTTATTTACATGAATTAATATATAAGGAATGAGAAAAATTTAGTATCGCACGATTCTTAGTATATCATACAATTGGACAATGGACTCATTTAATTCTCTTCTTTTATTATATCTACTTCTCATTGTTATTTCTATTTTTGAAAGAAACATTACAAAATATCATTTTATTCAAAAGAAGAGATATGATTCATGTAGTCAGCAACATACAATGAAATTAATTCTTCATCCCACATTTCTCGAATGAGATAAACGTGAAATTCTTGCTGTTGTCTCAAAACAAAAAGACGATATTTTCTTATTTCTATAGTTATTTTCGAGACAAGATGAGTTTTGCATATGTCAAGATTCACTTCGATACTATCTTGATTGCTACTGATTTTGTCATTTTAGAGATTTTAACATTTTGTAGTTTATCAATGTAAGACTGCTTCAAAAGTTAAAAGAAAAAAATATATTATAGATATGTACCTCTCTCAAATATTAGCAAAGGTTTTCATGATTTTTCATCAGTTGATCATTTAGTTCTAAAGATTTCTAAACTTTTAATATTGAAAGAAACAATCTTATGTGCCAAATTACAGTATTTCTATATTAAAGGTTATAACCCATGTCGTACATTTATTTAAACTACCGCCGGTATACCGCGGTACTTGAAGAAACCGGCGGTATACCGACGGTTTTATTGAGTACCGCGGTATACCGGCGGTTTTATAAAGTACCGCGGTGTAACGGCGGTTTTCTTAGATACCGCGGTATATCGGCGGTCAAAACACTGCCAAAATACACATGTATTTATCTATATAGATGACTATTTTTGTTTCTTTAATTTAGATAATTCTCAACATAACAATGAAGAGCAAGTATTTATTACAGAAATTATAATATTTTTCTTTTANGCAGCGAGTACAGTACGTTAATTTGTTGCCTTCTAAAAATTGTGTAATTGATATCATAACATTGCCAATAGATATACGTCTCATGTCGGGCGCTCGGTTATACTTTTGTAAGTCTTTAACGTGGAAGCGATAATCATCTGTTTTTCGATTATATGAATAATGAATCCTCTTTAGATTTATGATTGATGCGATTGATCGTGATATTTCTTCTTTTACAAATTCATAATCCATACCGCGTGGTACGTATCTGATGACTAATTCAAAAGAATCGGGAATAAACTTCGGTTTTTCGATTGTTATTGGTATATTCATTATACTAGTAGGCCATTCTTCGGTTGATATAAGATTAATATAGTCTTCCTTGTCATTTACTCCCAATTTGAGCTTTGATCCTGCCCATCCTACGAAACTAAATCGATTAATTTGTACGTTTTTTTGTTTTAGATATTCAAAAACTTGATCTGCTGCCTTAAAAGCTGATGGTACTTTTTGATCTGTATTTGTAGGATGAAATGACATATAGAAACATGAAAGATTGTTTGAAACAGCCCGTTTCACTTGATCGAAAGGAATCTTGTGTTGCTTCACGCATTTTAATGTTGTATCCACCTGTTGACTATCACCTGGTGCATCTAGTATTATTTCATTTTCTTGAAATTGTTCATTACCTGATCGTTGTTGTTTCGGTATTGGTAATCCTCCTGATTCAGCACTATCATTTAATCTGCGCTTGTTTGGCGTTAATGCATCTTGTTGTACTTGTAGTCTTGATTGCATCTTTTTAGATTGATTTAGTTGTTTATGAATTAATGGTTTATTTGACGAAACCTTTTCATAGTACGGTGATACATTGTGTCCTGTTTTTTTAATTCGACATTGTGCTTGTTGTTGTTGACGAAATTGTAAGAAATTATTCAACAATGATTCATCGTTTGCCAATGCATTTACAATGTATTCTCGTTGTACGCCAAGACCATCATTATGACCTGATTCCATATTGGAAGCTTCTTGTAAATTTATCTGCTGATTGTATGAGTTATTAATCAGAGACCGTTTATTTCCTACGTATCTTTGTTCCCCACTAGAATAGTAGTGATAATTAGTTTCCATCGTGTGTCAATTACCTCACTTCGATGGAAAGATAATAGTACTTACAAAGGAATGTAAGCAAAATTGCGATGCGTCTAACTCGGACGAAGACGAAAAGAGGAGTGAGAGAAATACAGATAGCTATACACGTGTAACCGATTGAGTAATTCTTTTTTTCTCTTACATGAGTTTTTGCCTGATTATTTTGAGAAGTCTACGAACATATAGGCGAGATTGAATGGAAAGCATATTCTTTCCTTCATGTTGGATTTTTTTCTTCTTTTGCTCTCCCGTGGCGACAAAACGACTAAGTTTGACTAAATTTTTCTGAGAATCTTCGCTTATTTCTAGAAATTTCGATAATCATCATCTCACCTGTCCAAAGTCTCTTTTCAGGTCACCAAAAACTATCGTTCAAGCTTAATAAAACTGTAGTATCATCGTTAATGATCAAATACTATTTGCGTCTATGACAAGAAGTCAAATTGGTAGTCTGCTTCAATACTAACGAAGAATTTTTCGGAGTTCGATATAAATCAATAAAAGAAAGATCTTTCTTACACTTAGACAGACATCGACGTCCATGTCTACACCGAGATGTTATTTCCATAATCTCCTGTTGGATTGGCAGTACAATTATATGTCTTGTTAGCGGTATTTTCATGAGCCTTGCCATGAAATATCTGCACTTCAATTTTCTTGCTGCTTAAAGTTTTATAACGTTTCAGAGTATTAAACTGAATGTTTTTATATTGACCATACAAATTTTATGTACCAATAGAAAAAAAATCATTGAATCTTGTTTGAATGTTGAAAAGAAAATCATGTATTAGAATAAAAATAAATTTAACATTTAAGATTCTTGCTCATATTGTGGTCACATGAGTGTATATGAACAATAAAAAGCTGTATGAGTGTGGATGTGAGTGTATCTTCCTCTGACCCACACCCACACCCCAAATCAAAAATCCCTTTCATCATCATCTTTCATGATAAGTAAATCTCATGCATGTAAATTCAAGAAACCACGATTATATGATGTCACATATTCTGGTTTATCGAAAATAATATAAAAATAATCAAACAAACTGCTATGCTTTATTTCTAACTCTTGCATAAAACGTCTTCGTACAAAATCTTTCCGAATATGAGCTCAGAAATCATGTGTCCTTGTTTGTTTGAGACCAGTGGAGCAATCTTTGAAAGGTCGAAAAAATTAGTTTCTACAAAATGAGTTGATCAAAGCTTTTGGAATAGACGTGTGCAGGACCGACACCAAAAACATACAATTTTACCGAGATCATAAAAATACATTGGTCACGTACAAATCTGTCGTCGACTAGAAAACTAGAAAAAAAGGAGTACTTATGAATTATTCCAGATCCAAAACCAGTAGATTCTGCAACAGCTTCCCTAAATCCGGGCTAGTACAAGAAAAACTGATGTCACTGAAATTGAAAGTAGGACCAAAAAAACTTGCTCCTGCATGTCTATTTCTACAGGTAACACCATCGAGCTTTTACTTCTATGGACAACCTATGAAAGTTTTCTTTAAATTAATTACCATTGGCCGAGCTTCGAGAATTCCATCCTTTTTCTGACCTTACAATAATATTTCTCAATGCTTTTTTGCAACTGTTTGACTTTTCAGCTGACATTATTCGATTTCTTTTTATAAGGACATCTCAAAACTAATATCTATAAAACCATTATATTTTATATTTAAACAATTTAAAGATCAGAATAAATCTAGGGTGTGGGTGTGTTTTTCCTTTCTTGGTGTCCACATTCACACCTGCAATGTCTATTCACTGCTACCAGGCATTGTCATAAAAGACATAAAAGAACATTCGAATTGTTTTATAGCCGCTAAAAACGCGTTAAAACGTGAGAATCGTGTTAAAATATTGTTAATTTTGAACTCTTGTAATACGATTTTGGCAATTAATCAAACGTTTTAAAAATTTTACATATTGAGATGACTAAATGCCGATTTGGCCACTCACGTTATCTACGTAAGAGAGATCAACTTTTGACCAAAAAGAAGTCGTAGAAGCAATTGGAAACTTATCTAGATCAACTCCAGTTCTTTTTGTGCTTATTTGAAATATGATATCTATTTGAAGTCAAACGAGATTCTTCAGCATGAAAACCATCGAAGATTGATCGAAATAGACACAAATTGACTATCAAGTATAGTGGTTCGAGCAACAGTGTTTTAGTAGACATCGAGTTTCAAGTTGAAAACAGTGTAATCAGGAAGNGTATTAGTGTTAAATGTGTTATACAAACATGTTTATCGTATTTATCAACAATTTGATCCAGTAAAGTAGATTTATTTTATAATCGAAAATGATTTCTAATGTTGTAACAGTAGGAGGGCTAAGGTGAATGGGATCAATCTGGTGACCGAGCTTGTGGCAGAGTTTAGTTGATGTCGCTTCAATTGGTTAAGGTGTCAAAGTTTTAGTGAAAGCTATTTGATAGATATAACAATTTCACTATTAAATTGATGAGACAAAACTATATGAAACATTATATACTGGAATTTGAAAATTCAAGAATGAACATTTCTCGATATTGATTCATCATCTCTAGTTCTATTCCTACTTTTAATTTTTTTGAAATCAACAAAAGACTATAACATTATCAGACTCGAAGAGATATCAAGTAGAACACTTTATTGAAGCCCATAGCCTGCATTTATACATCAGAGATTGAAATAATACAATCACACAACTACCTCAAAAAGAGTTCTAACCTGAAGTTCGAGTTCTGTACATAGTTAGTATGAAAGAGATGTTCGTTTTTTCATTATGTATCCCCCAAGGGGTTTTTCTATAGTCTTTGAAGATTTCTAATTAGATATAATTTTGTATTTGAAATAGAATTTTCTAATTAGAAAAATGAAATTCCCATCTCTATATGACTTGTAATACATTGAAATCTATAGAACATCGACGTGTCGTCTTTGTTTTCTTTTCTTTAAGATATAACATATCTTTTATCTTTATGTGAACACGGTGATCTACATTTACGTGGTGCATCTACAAATTTACTTGTTACATTAATTAAAACAACAATTCATCTTTTAACACTATCATCATTATCAGATTCATTTAATAATTCTTTTATTAATCAATGTTTCCTTGTATCAACTGATTCACAAGACAGTTCAACGTTATATTAGAATATTAATCGTCTCTTTTTTTGATAAAAATATTTTTTTTTGTTTTTGTTTTTGTTTTTAAAGATATTCAATTATATATATTAGCTGAATTACTTTCTGCATTTCGATTATGTCTTGATGATAATAATGTATGTGTTATACATGTTTCATTAAATGCTTTACGAACATTATTAAGTTTTTTATTAATTAATATTCATGTATTTACAATCATAGGAATTTAATTATTAGAAGATTCTATTCAACATAGTATAAGTTCCTATATTCTTGCTAAAGTAGATAAAAGAAATTTATGATTATGATAATTTCTTTTTTTTTTGTGTGCGTATAAAATAGGTTGCTCTAGCTCAACTTATAAATGATATTGATTTTCGAATATTAAATTATCTGGAATAATAATTAAAACAACATTACCCTAATATACGTGTTCGTCAAGGAAATGCTTCGACTTTTGCTAAGTATGTACTTTGTAGAGATATTAACTAGGTAGTTTTTTTCGAATCTGAATGCATAAGTTGATTTTATTGCATTAAGTTAGTTATTAGTTAGATTTTGATTTTAAGGCTTGTTGATTTTAATTCATTTTTACCATGTGAATGTATATATAAAACTCATCATTCATTACAATAATCAAATATTTCTGTAATAATATGAAATGATAAAGTACAATATGAAACAATATAATGTGTTATATTTGATCATTTAGCTCAAGCGTCAACTCAAATATAAATTGTTTGTTATTTTTTTATTTTATATAGGTTGAATATTTAGAAGATATTTATGTTCTTTTAAATGTTTTAAGATCAACAACAATTCGACCATTTTTTTTTCATAATCAACATGATGAACTTCGATTACTTTTACACTTTTTTAAACATCCATTTATATAACATGATCTTAATAATTTATAACTATTACTTGATATGGGTGGGTGTGGGTAAAAAAAGACGGAGCTTTTCTAATCAACGGTTACATTCGAAACTGAAATGAAAGAGAAACGGTTTTTAGAATAGCATCCATGCCAAAGAATTGAGAGTTATATTTTTGAATTCAAGAAGTATTTCATAATGCAAACTGCTTTCTATCAGTGTCTCACCTTTGAAGAAAGACTTCAAACAATTTTCTATTAATGAAAAAAGACTCAATCCATTTGACGAGATCAGACCCAAGGTATTCAAAATTACTATCAAAAGGCTATTCGTGGGAAACTCGATAGATTAATTCGCTTTTAAATTGTTTTGGCAGTTTCCTAAGCAAGGAGCAAAACAACAGGGAAAATATCTACTCGAATCGAGCCTCTATGCCCTATGAATCCAGAAAAGAAAATTTTCAAAGACCGAAGGGAAAAGTGATGGCAAATTATACGAAAAAACGAATGAAAACTCTTTTATTCTGCAAGCGCCCCGAAAAAGTAAAAAGTGTGGAAAACCTTAGAAAAAACATAACACACCGCAGCAATTTTTGATTTATTTCAAAGATTTACAGTTTTAACAAGTCTGTAAGAAAAGTTCTAATTTGTCAGTGCCTTCGTTAGCAACAGCGAAGTCCATTTTCTGGTCATTGTTAAAATCGCCAACGCAAATAGCGAATGGACGAGATGCATAGTCAACATGAAAAAAAATGTTTACATCGACAAATGAGCCATGCCCATCTCCAGAAAATACTACTGCGCTGTTTGTACCATTACTAGCCACGATAATATCTAAGAAGGTGTCGTTGTTGAAATCACTAATAGCAATCGCAATCAGTTGATACTGATATTCGATCGTAAAAGTTCTTCGGTTTGAAAAAGAGCCATTACCTACACCAAGAAATAAGTCAATAGAGGCATCTCTATAATTTGCAACAACGAGATCAAGTATACTATCGTTATTGAAGTTCCCGGTTGAGATAGCGACAGGAGAAGCGCCACTTAGAAGTGTTATTTGATTCGAGAAAGTATAATCGCTATACCCAAGGAAAACTCCAACACTGTTGATTGCTGTGTTTACAACTGCAATATCTGTTCTACGGTCGCTGTTGAAATCCCCAAAAGTAAATGATCTCGGTCGTGATCCCCTGATAGTTTTCAGTGTAGTTTGTTTTCTGAAAGCCAGATTACGATATCCTAGAAATACACTTACAGTGTTGTTGCCTGAATTAGCAACAACGACATCCAATCGGTTATCGTTGTTAAAATCACCAACAGCTACAGATGATGGTAAAGAACCAGTTGAATATATGTTTTGATCTTCAAAAGAACCATTTCCATATCCGAGTAGAACACTTACAGTGTTGCTGTTTGAATTAACAACAACAACATCTAATCGGTTATCGTTATTAAAATCATCAACAGCTACAGATACTGGAAAAGAACCAGTTGAATATGTATTTTGATCTTCAAAAGAACCAGTTCCATATCCGAGAAGTACACTAATGGTACCACTGTCGAAATTAACAACAACGATATCCAATCGGTTATCGTTATTAAAATTACCAACAGCTACAGATAGTGACCACAAACCGACTGAAAATGTCTTTTGATTTTCGAAAGAACCATTTCCATATCCGAGTAGAACACTTACAGTGTTGCTGTTTGAATTAACAACAACAATATCTAATCGGTTATCGCTATTGAAATCACCAACAGCTACAGAAGATGGCAAAGAATCAGTTGAATATGTCTTTTGATCTTCGAAAGAACCATTTCCATATCCGAGTAAAACACTTACAGTGTTGTTGTTTGAATTAGCAACAACAATATCTAATCGGTTATCGTTGTTAAAATCACCAACAGCTACAGATTGTGGAGAAGGGCCAATTGAGAATGTCTTTTGATCTTCAAAAGAACCATTGCCATATCCGAGAAAAATGCTAAGAGTGTCGCTGCCTTGATTAACAACAACGATATCCAATCGGTTATCATTGTTAAAATCACCAACAGCTACAGATATTGGAAAAGAATCAGTTGAATATGTCTTTTGATCTTCAAAAGAACCATTTCCATATCCAAGAAGTATACTGATAGTGTGATTATTGAAATTAACAACAGCGATATCCAACCGGTTATCACTGTTAAAATCAGCAACAGCTACAGATTGTGGAAAGGAACCAGTTGAGTATGTCTTTTGATCTTTCAAATATCCAGTATCACGTAAAACAAGTATATCTACGTTATCAGTGTCTTCATAAGCGACACAGATATCCGATCTTCCGTCATTATTTAAATCAGTAGAGGCAATAAATAATGGAGTAGCATTGAAAATATTATCAGCATATTGTATCTCAAACGCTCCTTTTCCATTTCCAATAAACAATCCAACGTTTTTGGTACCGCGATTCGCCACGGCAATATCTATTTGGCCATCTCCATCGAAATCAGCAGTAGCAATCGAGTGCGGATGAGAGTTAGAACCCGTCAGAAACTTTAATTGTTTTCCAAACGTGCCATTTGCGTATCCAAAACTAACACCAATATTATTGGTACCATAATTAGCTACTACTAAGTCTAAAATGCCGTCGTTATTGAAATCAACGACAGCAACGGCTTTCAAAAGCGAAGCATCGTCAACTGCAAATGTGTTTTCAGCCGTCAAAGGTACGCTATCATAATGAAGTAAAACACTTACAGTGTTGCTGTACAAATTCGCAACGACGAAATCCGATCTATTATCGTTGTTAAAATCACCAACAGCTACGGAATAGGGATGAGAACCAGTTGCGTATGGCTTTTGATTTTCAAAAAAGCCATTTTCATATCCAAGAAATACAATTACGGTGTCGCTACCATAATTAGCAACAACGAAATCTAATCGTTTATCGTTGTTAAAATCACCAACAGCTACAGAAGATGGCAAAGAATCAGTTGAATATGTCTTCTGATCTTCAAAAGAGCCATTTCTATATCCAAGAAACACAATTACGGTGTTACTACCTTCGTTAGCAACAACAATATCTGATCGGTTATCGTTATCAAAGTCACCAACTGCTACAGACGATGGCGCTAAACCAGTTAAATATGTCTTTTGATCTTCAAAAGACCCATTGCCATATCCAAGAAAAATGCTTATAGTGTCGCTGTCACTATTAGAAACAATGATATCCAATCGGTTGTCGCTGTTAAAATCACCAACAGCTACAGATCGTGGAAAAGAGCCGACAGAGAATATCTTTTGATCTTCAAAAGAACCATTGCCATATCCGAGAAAAATGCTTATAGTGTTGCTGTCTTGATTAACAACAACGATATCCAACCGGCTATCGCTGTTAAAGTCACCAACAGCTATAGATCGTGGAAAATAACCAGTTGAATATGTCTTTTGATCTTCAAAAGAACCATTGCCATATCCGACAAAAATGCTTACAGTGTTGTTGTTTGAATTAGTAACAACAATATCTGATCGGTTATCATTGTTAAAATCACAAACAACTACAGATGATGGCAAAGAACCAGTTGAATATGTTTTTTGATCTTCAAAGGAGCCATTTCCATGTCCATGAAGTACGCTTACAGTGTCATCCACAGCATTAGTGACAACGATATCCAATCGATAATCGTTGTTAAAATCACCTACAGCTACTGAAAATGGCCACGAACCAGTTGAATATATCTTTTGATCTTCAGAAATACCGGGATTAAAACCAAGAAGAATGCCAATACTTCGGGTGTCATCGTTAATGACAACAATATCAGATCGACCGTCTGTATTCAAGTCGCATGTGACAAGGTAGGTCGTAGAAGTGGATCCTGTTCTTCTAAATATTGGATTTGTGAAGAAGCCATTCCCATATCCTAAAAGAACACCAATATTATTCATACCCTTATTCGCGACCACTAAATCTATTTGATTGTCCATATTAAAGTCACCCATGGCAATAGAATATGGAGATTGATCGCCAAGTGTGTACGTCGCGTACGCTGAAAATGTTCCGTCTCCATTACCCAGAAAAATATTTATTCTATTATTTCCATTATTGGCGACAGCAATATCTAGTATATTATCATTATTGAAATAACCAGCAACAATTGAGCACGGACCAGAATGAGGACCAATAGAGATCGTTGATTGATTTTCGAAAGCATTGTATTTGTTTGCCAGAAGTATCATAATGTTATTTATGCCATGGTTAACAATAGCAATGTCCACATTGTTGTCATTATTGAAGTCGCCAGTGAAAATGGCACAAGGAAAAGAATCATATCCCGTTGGATATGTCGTTGATGAAGAAAAAATTCCATTCCCATAACTATAAAATATACTTATGGAATGTGTACCATGGTTAGCAGTAATAATGTCGAGTAATTCATCACTATTGACATCCACTATATGGATGAAAATCGGACGAGATGTTTCCGTTGATATAGCTGTTTTGATTGCAAAAGATTCATTATTGAGTTGCATGAATATACTAATGCTATTTGTGTTGAAGTTTGCAACCGCAAAATCCAATCGATGGTCATTATTGAAATCACCCACAGCAACCATACGTGGAGCAGATCCAAGGCCAGTAGAATACTCCACTGAACTTGCCACACTACCATTACCGTATCCAAAAAATATATATACTTTATCAGAAGTATAGTCGGCTACAAGAATATCGGGCCAACTATCGTTGTTCACATTCCCCACAGCTACAGATATGGGATCAAACCTATAGTCGATTGGGTTAGGTGTTGTTGATTTGAAATTAAGCCGGCATTTAGAAACTAAGTAAGAATAACAGATAAAAATTGAAAAATAGTTCTGATGCAACTATTTCAATTGAACAATAAGAAACGTCCAGAATAAACATGGAATTCTACTAGAAAATATCAAGGTATTACAGAAAAAGAGTCAAATAGATCAAATTACTATCTCTACAGTTTTTTGGTGTTAATAGATTTGTGTATTCAGATTTTCACCTATTTTGT